CCCAATGACTGAAGGACATAAAATAATCTGGAAACCTCAAATACACATAATGTCTCAGGTGATGTCAAAGAAACACTCTCATGGAAAAAGCAATGTCTAGAAGAGTTCCATGATAAAATGGAACTGGTTTTGCAGGAACATGGTACCAGGGGACAAGGGAGGTACACGCATGTTCACAAGCAGGTAGAATTTTTTCCCCTAGGGCTGACTTTGGAACCACCAGAGAAATTGCTGGACCTGTAGCCACTTGGGCAGTGCCCTAGGAACGGCTCTCTATGAACCAAAAAAGAGCTGCTTGGTCTACAGATGTCAGTTTCAAGGTGATTAGATCGCATGGTGTTTGGAGTCTGCCACTCTGATAGAAGAAGACAAAAACAAATCAGTTCAGTGTGCCAAATTACATGGTGTGATCCTTATGTTTGGGTTTTGAACCAACTCATGGGCAATGGCTAATGTCCTAGCCATGTGGTTAAGTAGAAGAGCAATGGAAAACTTGCCTCTATTAAAGGGATGCTGTAGGGGGCACTGCCCTATGGAAATCGCTATGGGCATTCAAGGGGTACAATGAAGTAGGGCATGTCACTGTTCATTAGAAGAACTTCCTTTTAGGATTGGGAGGTGGGGCGCCTGGGTGGCTCAGATGGTTAAGCGTCTGCCTTTGGCTCAGGTCATGATCCCAGAGTCCTGGGATCGAGTCCTGCATCGGGCTCCCTGCTCAGTGGGGAGCCTGCTTCTCCCTCTGCCTCTCTCTCTCTCTTTCTGTCTCTCATAAATAAATAAATAAAATCTTTTAAAAAATTAAAAAATTAAAAAAAAAGGATTGGGAGGTGATTGGAACCAGCAGGTGGATATCCTGTTACACAGATTTGAGGTGGCCACCTGAGTTCATGACATGAATGGATATGGGGGGGTGGGGTGCAGCAATGCAGAGATGGGATGAATCTAGACATTGTCCTCTTGTACCCTCTGGAGCACAAAGTGCCAATAAGAATCTTTTTATGGACCACCAAAAATGACAGAGGCTGCAGATGGCTGTGGGGCAGAGGCCCAACACAGAGCTGGTGCTTGGACAGATGCTGGTAGCCCTGGAAGGTTACAAATGGGTTTTGACAGGAAGAGACACACTCTGGACTGGGTTTTGCATGCCTAGAGGTAGGTGCAAATGTTCAAAATACTATAAAAGGCCTGGACTAGAAGATATTGCACTAATTTGGACCACTAATTCCATTTCTTCAGACCAAGGAACACACTTTACAGCCCACAGTGTCCAACAGTGGGCAAAGAGATATCACAACAGATGGATGAATCATGTTGCATATCACCTTGAGTAAAGGTCTAACAGAGAATTGGAACAGGCAATTGAAACATTTGTTGTCTGAAATGGGGGAGGGAGGGGTGACTGGGTGGCGCAGTCAGTAAAGCGTCTGAGTCTTGGTTTCAGCTCAGGGCTGATCTCAGGATCATGAGGTTGAGCCCCTCGGCAGGCTCCACACTCAGAGCAAATCTTTGTAAGTTTCTCTCTTCCTCTGCCCCTCTCCCCACCCCTGCTCTTTCTCTCTCTTTCTGGAATGAATAAATAAATGTTTTAAAAAATAAAATAAAATGGGGAGAGAGAGATAAAGGCATGAAGGGCTGACTTCTACGTCTTCATGAGTGTGTTGCTCACTCCGATAGATTTCTCTTTCTGGGGAATCTGGAGAGGGGTGAGGGAGAATGCTGGTATGACTATGCAGTTCTTCCCATGGAGAGAAGACGGGATGACCATACCTTTGGCTTTTTTTCTCCACATTGCCTCAACTCTTTAATTTTTCTCCCTGACTCAGTGATTCCAAGGACCAGGGCTTCAAATGCAGGTGCTAGAATCAAGGATGATCCCCAAGCAAGAAACTGTTACTATATTTTTAAACCTTTATACTAGAATTCCAAGACATTGATGTGGGGGGCTGTTATGCTTTCACTCCATCTGATGAAATTGGGATTGATAGCGAATGGAGTTGTGTTGCCTGGAGGTTGAGAAAGCCCACAGGTTGTGTACTTGTGTCACCTTACCCTATATGAATGGGAATGGACCAAGGGGGAGGCTTTTGCTCAACTAGTAGCAGTGCTAGGAATCTGGAACAGCATAGAACTAGGCTGAATCTAGCGTTCCTACCAACGGGAGAAAGTCTGAGTAAAAATAAGTCACAAATAGAGAGAAGGAGAAATAGTAGCTGAGGGTAAAAGAACAAATAAATGGGCTATGCAACAAGTAAAATCCAGTGTTACATTAACACCTTGAAGGAGGCTCAGAGCAAGAGATGATATTGTCTCCTATGAGAGCTCAGGTATACCAGATGTCTTAGGGGATGGAGAGCACTCCTGTTTCTAGAAACTGATAGAGTTGAATGGAAACCTGCAAACCTGAGTGGGATTGCTTTGGGAGACATGTGATGTGATGATGAGCTGGACCAGTTGTTGATGACTGAGTGACATTCCAGTGATATGCCACTAACTTTTGACTCATTTTTCAGGTTATGTCTACTGCCCATCTTGTGATGTGGTATAACACTGGCACCGTCTTATCAGTAAGATTGCACTACTGATATTGTTGGTCAAATCTATTGGGAAATTGAGTTAAGAGCCTCCTACTCTACCCTGCCTCCTCCAAATGTTAGGGCATATATTTGTTTTCTGTAGGAGAGCTTTGGATAAAGGCCAGGGAATGGCCTGTGTAGTCAAGAATTTGGGCTTGCCGGAAGAGAAGGTCTAGCCTTTGTCTTTGGCTTCTTGAAGGTAATCTGTGCCATACCTGATAGAAGTGCCTTTGTTTAGATGAGGGCAGGCCAATCTGGACTTTGAGGTGGGGCTGATCATGCCAGAAAGACCAACCATGTGATTTAGGTGGAAAGTTGTATCATGCATCATCAGTTGACCTGAAGACTGAGTTCAGCCAAATGTGCAGTCAATCATGCCTACATAATGGAAGCTCCAATAAACACTCTGGACACCAAATGAGCTTCCCTGGTTTGCAATACTCCATGCTACCATCACACACCCATGCTGGGAGGGTCACATGTCCTGACTCCATGGGAGGCAGCACCTGGAGCTTTGCATGTGGAGGCCTCCATACTTTGCCCTCTGTACTTCTTCCCTTAGCCGATTTTGTTGTGAACCACAACCATGAGAGTAACAGCTCTCTGTGGGTTCTGTGAGGCCTTCCAGAGAATTATCAAAAGTGAAGGTAGTTTGGGAACCCCCAAATTTGTTTTTAATTTTTAATTTTTTTTTCATTTTGGGGGGAACCCCCAAATTTGTAATTGGTGTCAGAAGTCTTGGGGACTGTGCCGTCAAACCTTGTCATTTGCCTAACTCTGGGCAATAAACTAAGAAAGAAGAAAAAATTAGATCAATTCCTTTGCCCCCGAGTTCTTTCATATTTCTAAAAACAACAACAGAAAGGAAAAGCAAGTAAGCCTGGGTGGCTCAGTCGTTAAGCGTCTGCCTTCGGCTCAGGTCATGATCCCAGGGTCCTGGGATCGAGTCCCACATAGGGCTCCCTCCTCGGCAGGGAAGCCTGCTCTCCCTCTCCCATTCCCGCTGCTTGTGTTCCTGCTCTGTCTCTGTCAAATTAATAAATAAAATCTTTAAGAAAAAAAAAATCTATGTAGCTTATGCAAATCAAAACCACAACAAAATGTCACACCCCCTTGAAAGGCTATAATTAAAAAGACAGATGATAACAAGTGTTGGTGGGGATGTGGAGAAACTGGAACCTCATACATTGTGGGTGGGTTTGGAAAATGATGTGGCTGCTTTGGGAAACGTCTGGCAGCTCTGGTTAAACATAGAGTTACCGTAGATCCAGCCATTCTGCTTCTAAAATGAAAGCATATGTCCACACAAAATCTTGTACATGAATGTTCACAGCAGAATTCCTAATAGCCCCCCAAATGGAAAACAGCCTATATGTCGGTACATGAAATGTGGTATATTCATACAAGGGAATACAAGTTGGTGATACAAAGAATGAAGTACTGTAGTATTGTACAACATGGGTGAACCTCGAAAACAATATGAAATAAGCCTGACAGAAAGGGCTGCATATTGCAGAATTCCATTTATATGAAATATCCGGCTTAGGGAAATCTACAGAGACAGAAAGATGGGTGATAGCCTAGGACTGAGGGGCGGGGGGGGTGTTGGGAGGAATCGGGGAGTGGCTGCTGATGGGTGCGAGATATCTTAGGGGTGTGTGTGTAACTAAATGTCCTAAAATTGATTGCGGTGGTGGTCGGAGTCTGTGACTATACTAAAAACCGTTTATTACGCGCCTTAAATCGGTGAATTGTATGGAATGTGAATTAGATCTCAACAAAGCTGTTTTTGTTTTGTTTTGCTTTGAACGCAGCCTTGGGAAAGGAGACGAACTCTTAAGCTCAAGGAAATTCGATCAGAGTGGCTTTTTAAACTCCACGGTAAGGCTTTCCGGGTCCTCTGAAACGCGACAGTGGGCTGTGACCAAGTTCTGAGGACGCCGAGAAGGCCCGACATGGAGCCGGGACGTCGGCTTGACCTCAGGGCTCGCACAGTGCGACAGGGGCTGCCGAGCCCCACGCCGCGGCTCCGAGCGCCCGGGATCGCGTCCCCCGGCTCCGGAGGCCGCCCGGCGCGAGGGCGGAACCCGGGCCCAGCGGCTCCCACCCCCAGACGCAGCTTTGCGAGGCCTGCAAACCGGCCTCCGCGGTCCTAAGAAGCACCCCGACCCCACCCCGCAGCGTCCCCCCGGCCCTTCGGGAGGGCGCTCGGGGACACCCCGTCCCCCGGGAGGTCGCGGGTTGCATCTCGGAGCTCGGGCACAGGCCCCCGGCCCCCAGGCCCCCAGGCCCCCGCCTCCGGGAAGCCCCGCCCCGCCGCGGTCGCGCCCTCGGCCGGCTCCGCCTCTTCCCCTCCGGCCGCCGCCCCGCCCCGCGCCGGCCGCGAACCCAAACAGCGGCTCCTGCTGCGCGCGGCCGCGCGTGATCGCCGCGCCGCCGAGCCCCGCGCGCCCGCCCGCCCGGCCCGGCCCGGCCCGGCCCGGCCCCGCCGAGCGATGCTGCTGCTGGCGGCCGCCTTCCTCGTGGCGTTCGTGCTGCTGCTCTACATGGTGTCACCGCTCATCAGCCCCAAGCCCCTCGCCCTGCCCGGGGCGCATGTGGTGGTGAGTGGCCTCCTGTTGCTGTGCCGCCGCCGCCGCCGCCGCCCGGCCCGCTCGGCCGCCCCGAGCCCGCCCCCTGGCGCGCCGGCCCGCGACCGAGGCCCAGCCGCCGGCGTCCCTTTCTCCGCCGAGGGCCACCTGCCGCCGCGCGGCCCGGCCCCGTCCCTGCGGGGGGCTGCGGGGACCCGCCCTCCGCCGCAGCTGGCCCTCCCCGGGGCCGGAGAGCGGGGTCCCGGGGTGCCCGGTGGCTCGGGAGCCGGTCGTTAATCCCCGGGGCATCCGTGGGATGTGGATATTTTTGCGCTCGGTTTTCCGATGAGTCAACTGAGGAACGGAGAGGCTGAGAAAGTTTGCCAAGGCCACCGCGGTCGGTGGCTGCGCAAGGCGAGGCGCACGGTTCCGGCCGGGTCGCGGGGAGGCGAGCGGCAGAGAAGGGGTCCCAGCCGCCGGGACCCCCCGAGGCAGCTCGGAAAGGGACGACGGCCTGTGCGAGTGACAGAAAGCAGTTGCCAGAGGAATCCAGGAAGTGACTCACCTGGGGCGGTGGGCGGGGGGGGCGGGGAACCGCCCCGAACCCAGGGGGCTGGCGGTCCTGGGCTGAGCGGTGTCGGGGACGCTTCTGTCCGGTCTACACTGCTGGTGTGTCGGAGCTCACCCCGGGGTCGGCTGATTGCCGTTTCAGGGCCGAGCTCTGCCATCATTTCAGGGGCAGATGGACGAACTCACCGACTTGCTAGTGTATTAGGGATGAAGGAGGTGCGGATGGGTTTGGTTCGTTTCTTACCGGAAGCCAGTGTCCCTTTTCTGCAGGTGGCGGCACCTTCCTTCCACTGAGAGAGAATGCCTCCTCACCTGCGCCCAGCACTTCGCCACTTGCTGTGGCTTTCTCATCGGTTTTCTTATTTGGATCTCACAACCCCGAGGCACACCGAGGTGGGAGGTTATTGAAGAAGGAGAGTTGGTTACTAAGCGGGCAGCACAAATCCTGCCAGAGGTGACAAATGCGTGTCTCAACTGAGATGGAGCCTCCCCACCGAGCTGTCTGGGCTGGGCTGCTCGTTTATTTTAGTGGGCTTTAAATCTGGACAAGCATTTGCGAATGAGAAAATGTATTTTTCTTTACCTTGCCCTTTGTAAAAATATTAGTATGTCTCCAACTCCTGCTATTCCTGATGTGCAAGGTAGATGAGGTAGTGTAAATTCATTTCAGAAGAGAGCGAGAGAAGCCAAACTTTACAGTGAGGCCAAATTCTGAAAGTGTCACGTCTCCAAGAGAACTTCTGCCTCAGAAGCATGGCTTTAAAAGTTGGAATCTTGCAGAAGTTATGTTTGCAAAGCATAACTTGGAAGGAAACGTAAAGCCAAAAGCAGGAATGAGCATTTCGATTGGGTATTTATAAGGGAGTTTCACTTAACCTTGACTCCAGTCCTTCCAGCTTCATTGTGCCGCAGGCCACCAGTAAGATAATAAGTCTGTTGGGGTAAACTAAGAAAATTTCTTATTTTCACCATCCCATTTTAATACGCCACTATAAATAATGTGAGGATGACATGAATAATTTACATGATGTCACCATCTGTCTTCTTTTTTAATGTCACAAGACGAGGGAAAGCACCATTCTTTTTCTTGAGATTTGTTAGGACCGGACCAGGTGGTGTTAGGAGAGGGAGCTAACATTTAGAATGTCTGCTTATGTGAAAGCATGAACAGACTTAGGTCACAATTATTTATTGCTTTCTATTTAGAACAGTTCGCATACACTAGGGTTATCTCCCTAGTGACAGTGATAAAGCAGCACAAGTTTTACAGGTTATGTACTTAGCTTTAAAAATCTGTTTAATCGACTTGGGGAGAACTGGAAAAGGAGGTCCTTCCTTTTTGGAGATGGCTGGGAGCAGTTCTTGCCACAAACTGCCCTGTCTCTTGCCCTCAATAAGAGGTGTATGATGTGATGAAAGAGATAGTAACATTTAAATAATATTTTTGCATTGAATCATTAAGACGCGGTGATAAGGAAAGGAAATTAGGTTATCTTTAGTGTCCCACATCTGGGCCCAGTTTACCAATTGTCAGGCAACTCCATTCTCATTTCCCACTTTCTCAGCCATCTCGTCCATGGTGTTCTACCATTCAGAATAACACAGCCTAGACTTGGCTGATGTATATTCTTAGATACCTTCTAAGCATTAGCTTCGTTAGAAGGTTAGTTTCTCACGAGCTAGAACCGAAAGATTGAAGTCTTACCCTTGCTCTTATGGAATAAACTTAGAAGTGATGATCAGGTTGAACAGTCTCTTGGCTGTGCTAGGTTACCTATCACAGTCTAGAAAAAGGACAGCAATCACAGCAATAGTACTTTAGAGCATGTACATTTTCTCAGTAACCTCGTAACTTCAACTTCCATTAATTTATCGGATAACAAATAGGGAGACTTTACTTCCAATTTTTTTTTGGCATTGTATTTTTCGGAGAAATGGTACCATGCACGATTCCTGCAAATTAATGTAGGCTGAGTACTTACTTAGCAACTGCTTATGCCAGGTTCTGTGCTCAGAGTGGGGGAGATAAATTGGACTTGGTGCTCGTCCTCCAGGCGCTTGCAGTCTGGTCAGGGAGCAAAGACGTGTACACAGAGTGGAAAGTGATACGCAAAGGACAGGACTGAGTGACAGAGTCAGGAAAGCTTCCTGGAGGAGGAGGGGACATTGGATCTGGCCTCTGCAGGCTAGATAGGATTTGGATAGGTAGGTATGCAGGGGATGTTGGGTGGACATCGAGGCAGTAGCAACACCATCATATGATGGCCAGGGGCCTGTTAATTACTATGGAATTGGAATGTCTGGTGAGAATTAAAAAGCCAAGGCCACCCGTGAAATATCTCAGCAGCAAAGAGCTCCTCAGAGGCATCTGTTAGCTGGGGCAGCAGGTAGATTTTTACAGTAACCTTCTGGAGATAAGTGGTTAATTATCTGCCAAGGAAGTCTCTTCAATGGTGAGGGCTTGGGGTTAAAGAAAAGTAGGGGAGCCTAAGCATCCATGGAGATTGGTACATTGTATAGGAGTGGCTTCATGATAATTTTAAAATCATTGAGATGGGGTCAAGGATGTTCACTACAGCATGATTTATATCCAACAGTAAAATAGTTGAAATAATCCTAATGTCTGTTACAGGGACATTGTCAACTAGGTTTTAATACAGCTCCTTAATGTAATATAGTGAAGCCTTTTAGTTTTTTGACATATTTTGATATGTATTTTTTATTCTCTTCTATTTTTTTAAAGATTTTATTTATTTATTCGTCAGAGAGAGAGCACACAAGCAGGGGGAGTGGCAGGCAGAGGGAGAAGCAAGCTCCCCACTGAGCAAGGAGCCCAATGTGGGACTTGATCCCAGGCCCCTGGGATCATGACCTGAGCTGAAGGCAGACACCCAACCAACTGAGCCACCCAGGTGTCCAGATATATATTTTTTTAAAGTAGGATATGATACTGTGTAAGGTCAGATGCCTCTCTGATATTTCCCCGCTTCCTTCACCTGCTGACCCTGGGCCCCCACTCTCTTGCCCCGTATTATATAATTTGCATAGGAAAAATGACTGGAAAGATAATATTGCCTTATGAAGTTAAGTATCTGTTGAGTCCTTCCTATATGCAGGCATTGTGCTAAGTGTTGGGAATGTTGTGGGAGCAGAAATGGAGTTGGTATTTTTATGGCATGTGTGAGGCAGTGATAGGAGAGAGGGTCGTGAATCCAATAATCACACAAATAAATGCATGGCTGTTTGAGTGTGTGAGTGCCATAAAGTAAAGGAAAAAGGATGCGGTGCTGAAAAGTGGGTTGAGGTTAGGGAAGGGGCAGTCAGTGAAGGTTTTCCTGAGGAAGTGATGTTTGAGCTGAGATTTATTTATTTTTTTAAGATTTATTTATTTGGGGGGCGGGGACAGGCAGAAGGAGAGAATCTCAAAGCAGACTGCCCGCTGAGCATGGAGCCTCGCAAAGCAGGGCTGGATCCCACAACCCATGAGATCATGACCTGAGCTGAAACCAAGAGTCAGATGCTTAACTGACCTAGCCACCCAGGTGCCCCTGAGCTGAGATTTAATGGGTGAATGGGTGCCAGCTGGATGAAAAGAGGGGAGAAGAGCGTTTCTGGCAGGGAAATAGAATGTGCAAAGTCCCTGTGGTTGGAGGGAGCGTGGAACTCAGAGACAGCCAGTAGGGCTGAGCTTGATTGTGAGGGGCAGAATAGTACAAGAAGGAAAACTGTGCCTTTTAATATTTCCATGTGATCATGTATTTCTTTTATAATACATGTAAAATATTGGATCTGTCATGTAAAATATTAGATCTATGCAGGTAGCTCTTCTTTGCATCTCTTGTGCAGAGAGTCATGTAAGAGATATGCAGTAAGGAAATAAGTTCATTTGAATTTGGAACCAGAGGTAGACTAATGTATTATTTATTAGCTCAATTTATAGGGCACTTTCCTTCCAGTGAATGCAGAAAAATATAGGTGTGCAGTTTATAGTTCAGTACCAAAAACAATCGGCAGCAGGACCCGCTGACAGTAACATCTTTCCTGTCTGCACTTCCTTCATTAAGTCTGGGATGAAGAAACTACAATAGCTAAAAATCTGGTTCTTGTAGATTGGGTTTTAGAGCTCATCGTAGTTGTTTTAAATAAACTTCCCGCAGCAGGGCAATTTCAAGAGCTAAGAAGATTTTATTTTTGCTTTTAGGTTACGGGAGGCTCCAGTGGCATTGGAAAGTGTATTGCTATTGAGTGCTATAAACAAGGAGCGTTTATAACTCTGGTGGCACGAAATGAGGTAAGTCTTCTGGGTGTGTTGTTACGCACTTACTCGGCTTTGGATTAGCCAGAGAGGCGGTGCGCATGTCCTGGGATTCAGGAACCTGTGCGAGAAATGGCTCGTATCTCAGGTTCCAGGTGTGATTTTTGAACCACTGGTTATTTCTCATATTCGGGGCAAAGACTTCTTGGTTGAAGTCAGGCCAGTTCCACAAATATTTATTTAGTTTCGACAACTGTTAGGCAACATCAGAGGCACTGCCCGTGGAGATGGGAGAGGCTGCAGGGAGCCAGGGAGGGCGTCCACCTGCCGGCAGAAGGCAGAGCTGATGGCCGAGCTGATAGCCGAGCCCTGAAAGATGTGCGGGTGTCTCTCTGTAATTTGCTTATTATCGAGATGATGTACATCTCTAATGAAACCCAGACTCCACAGGGGAATCTTGCTTCTCCCCAGCACTGTAGCAAAACAGTGTTTTTCTGTGTCAAGTCAACACAAGGTCTGTTTTTCTTTTCTTTTCTTTTTTTTCTCCCCCCGCAGGGTCTGTTATTCTTGACAAAGTTGTTTCCACAGCCAAAGCGATGACACTGGATTCACACGAACAGTTATGGAGTCCTCTGGCTCCAGGGAGGCCGGGGGGGGGGCGCGGTGTGGAGGCCACCATGCCTGTGTTATGGGCCACCTGCCACTGTTCCATGCCTGGCATCATGCTTGGCTCCCAGCAGGTGCTCAAAACAGAGTTGTGGAATGAAGACATGAGGGGAGGGTTGATGGAAGGATGCGGACACACCAGCGTGGCATCATTGCTTGGGGACTTTGGATTCACATGTGCCAAAGGAGGGCAGCAGTGGGGTGATCAACCACTCAGGTGGGGGTGCACAGCTGCCAGGGAGGGCCTTGGGGGGAAATGTTTAAATATTGGTACAGAATTAGGCTTTGATGTTCATGATTTCTTAAAATCAAGAAAGGCAGAATTGCTACCTCCTGTCATTTGTGTCCTGACATCTCTAACAGTGAATTCGCTTTGGCATCAAAGCCACTTGACGGGAAGGAAAACATCACTTTATTTTGTTTGATTAAAGATTTTATTTATTTATTTTTGTGAGGGAGAGGGCACAAGTGGGGCAGAGGGGCGGAGGGAGTAGACTCCCTGCCGAGCAGGGAGTCCGATACGGGGCTCGATCCCATGACCTTGGGATCATGACCTGAGCCAAAGGCAGACACTTAAGTGACTGAGCCACCCAGGCATCCAGAAAACATAACTTTAATAAAATGGCATTATGTGAAATTTAAACAGTGCTGATATTTGATACAAGATAGATGAAAAGGAACCAGGGGTGGCCCCAAGTTTTAGGTGCTCGGAAGCTCTTTCTGTGGTCCTTGCATTGCTAGACGTGAATGAGCAGATGAGCCTTCTGGCTTCCAGAAATTCTTTATTTTCTAATATAATTGTTTGTTCCAATTTTGAGAAAGGCAAGTTGTGTGTGTCTTTATTAATAGAATATTATTTTATTATAGACACATCCATGTTCAGAACACCCACGTGTCTTTCCGAAAGATTCCTTTCCTTTTTTGTTCTTCTCTAGCTGTCCTGATGTTTTTAAATTACAACTTTTAGAACAAATTAAGAACTGTAAACTGATACATCTCTCTTCTTGAAAAAATGAGTCAAGCAAACAAAATTGAGACCTTGGAAGAATCTCTCAGTTACAGGGTGGCTTTGCTTGTCTTGAGATTATTCTCGAAAGTAGCCAGGATTAGGTTTTCTCAATCTATCTAAAAGGTGATTTTTACTATATTTGCTTTTATGGGAGAGGAGGAAAATATTGGACAGCTCTTAGGAAAGCACTCTTGACGTGGAATCACACGAACCCTGAAGTTTGGGAAGCATTGCACGGCAATGTGGTGGTTCTTGTTTTATGTTACAACTAAATAATGTCAGATCAAAACATTTATTAGCAGTGAGATGGTGCCCATCAGCAGTTAGTACTGTTAATTGGGATTTTGCAGTTCATTTATTTTTCCGTTATCTTTCAGAAAACCCTTGCTATCACTTAATCATAGCTGAGCATAACTTCACAGCTTCTTTCTTTCATAGACTGTGGCCCATAACAATGCAATATAGGTGCTGTCTTGTGTGTTTTCTAGACTTTAATAAATACTTGCACAAATAATTGCTTTCTTGCCCCCATTTAAACAAGCAGACAAAAGACAATCACCAGAACTAATTGTTCTCTGTTGCTTTCAGGACAAGCTGCTGCAGGCAAAGAAAGAAATTGAAAAACACTCTATTAATGATAAACAGGTATGATCAGTCTTCATGATACATTTTCTGTACTAATCAGCACAGCTGTGTAAAGGGAAGTAAAGGGTTATTTCAACTGTGAATAGTTCATGTAAAGCCTGTAGGTTTTCCTGATTAAAATACATATTAGACTGTTTTTTTAAAAAGGCGAAATCATTTAAATTGTCTGTGAGTTCAGGTTATTACCAAAAATGTACAGACTTTGACTTCCACCTACCAATGATCAAATAATGTTTTTCTAGAAGATGATTTTATTTCAGTTATTTATTTAAGGTAACTTCATACAAACACTGAAGGGGAAAGGGGTACTACATTTTTTGGGGGGGTTATGGCATTTTGGATGAATAAAACGGTGTGTGTATACATATATATATCTTTCAGTATAAAACATAATAACAAGTTACTATGACACTCATCACCGAGCTTAAGAAATGAGATTTACTAGGGCCCCTGAAACCGCCCTGGGGGCCCATATCAGCTGCCCATATCCTCCGGTCTCATTCCTAGAGGCAACTCTCAACCTGATTTTCATGTTGATTCGTCCTTTGCTTTTCTTTATAATTTGACCCAATATGCATATGACCCTAAATAATATACTGTTTATTTCTGCTTCTCTTTGAACTTTATGGCATCATTCTTACTTTTTTTCTCAGCCTTCTTGAGGCATACTTCACATACCATTCAACTCACCGATTTGAAGTGTACAGCTCCGTGGCGTTTGGCTTAGCCACAGAGTTGCTCAACCAGCACCAGAATCGGTTTTAGAACCTTTCCGTCATCCTGTAAAGAAAGTCTGGACCTTGTCACTCCCCACTTCCTCCCAACCCCCACAGCCCCAGGCAATCACTAATCTACTTTCTGTCTCTGTAGATTTGTAGGACATCATTCTTTAGGTATTTTTGTGCAACTTGATCTCTTCACTGGATACTGCTTTTGAGATTCCTGTGTGTTGCTGAGTAAAGTCATAGTTTATTCATTTTTTTACTGCTGGATAGCATTTTTCTGGATATATATAGAAGACCTCTTGTTCATCAGTTCTACTGTTGGTGGATATTTCGTTTCCAGTTTTTTGGTTAGTTTTATTTTTTGCTGTTACTAAAGCTTTTCTGCATGTCTCCGCACGCACGTTTCTGAAAATGGAAGTGTGGAGGTATAGTTTCAGCACACACGCATCTTCAGCTACGCCAGAATGGGTACATGCCCACCAGTAGTGCTCGGTGCCTCTCGCTGCCCCACATCCTTGCCAATACTTGGTATTGGCAGGCTTTCTAATTTTTGCTTTTCAGTTGGGTTTTAAATGATATTTCACTGTAGTTTCTCTTTTAATTTTTTTTTTAAACGAGGCAGTTCAGTTCTTGAACTTAACTTTTTTTTTTTAAAGATTTTATTTATTTATTTGACAGAGAGAGAGATAGCGAGAGCGGGAACACAAGCAGGGGGAGTGGGAGAGGGAGAAGCAGGCTTCCCGCCGAGCAGGGAGCCCGATGCGGGGCTCAATCCCAGGACCCTGGGATCATGACCTGAGCTGAAGGCAGACGCTTAACAACTGAGCCACCCAGGCGCCCCTAATTATTTTTTTAAAAGATTTTATTTATTTATTTATTTGAGAAAGAGAGTGCCCGAGCACAGGGGGAGGAGTGGTGGGGGAGGGAGAGGGAAAGAATCTCAAGGAGACTCCATGCCATGCGAGCGTGGAGCCCAGTGCAGGGCTCCATCCCACCACCCCAAGATCATGACCTGAGCTGAAAGCAAGAGTCAGACGCCTAACCGACTGAGCCACCCAGGTTCCCCTCACTGTAGTTTTAATTGCCTCTTTTTCCCCTCCAAAATATGTTAGAGATCTTTCCATGTCAAGAAAAATAAATTGGCCTGATTTTTTGTAACTGCTGTGGCGGAGTCTCAGGTACCCACAGCGTATGCAGTCCTTTCCCCGTGCGTGGGCTGTCGGCGGGTCCTCTGCTTTGGCGCTCTGTGCGCAGGTAGAGGTCCTCGTCCATGTCTCCTTGTGTACACATGTGAGGTTTTCTCCAGTACCCTGGCTTCTGTGCCCCCTTCTCTGAAGCCGTGAACATTGGAAAGCTGCCAGCTTGGCAAATCTCCCCATTTTTTTTTTTTTCATATTCGTGTAAGTTCTGACAGAGAAAGAAGTATCCTGTAAAACCACGGAGCTCGCATGCTCCTGGCTGAAGGCCAGGCCTGCTGTCAGCACCATCTTTGTGCCCTGGACTTCTTCACCGTGACTTCTGCCCCCACCTCTGCCGTCAGAAGGCTGTAGGTCATGCGGCAAGTTCCTGCCGTCTGCATCGGGGAATGGAAGATAGGCAGGGCTGGCCTGGGCCAGAGACGGAGCTCGCTCCTTCTACCGGCACAGAAGGGATTTGCTGCCCAGCTTAGCACAAGCAGTGCCCCGTGGACACTTTTTTCCTGGTGATTTGTGAACCCTTTTTTTTTTTAATTTTACTTGTCTGTGGGATAGCTTTTATTTATAGTAAATGATCTAATACTGTATAAAAAGACTCATATAAAAATCCCTGTCACAGGAATAAAACCCAAGGGCTGCTCCTCTGGAATATTCCAGATTACATTTGTGAAGGGGGCCATTTCCTTTTCTTGGGAATTTAGATCATTCGGATAGGGTTCCTTCCTGCCTCAAGTAAGACTTCCTGCCTGCCGCATCAGATTCTAAGGCAATCACCTCTCACGTCGTGGCTTTATTCCCCACATTGTATCTTCTCAGAGCTGGAAGGGACCTTTGTCCTCACTCACTTCTGACACCCTTCCCGGAGCAGGTTCTGCCCAGCTAGTGCATGAAGGGGCAGCGTTGGAAGCCAGGCCTGCCAAGCCTGCGCCCGCTCCTTCCACCGCACCGCACCCCCTTTGACTTGCAGCCACACGCGGGTGCACGTGTGGATGTGGACGTGCCCTCCTGTGCGCACCCATTCTGTCTGCCCCCTAGCTTGGCGGCCAGTCTCCACCCAGAAGAACTCATGGAAAGACGGAGAAGTCGAGAAATGCCTTTCTGCTTCTCCCTGCGACCCCTCCCCGCCCTTGGCACATAGAACATTCCAATGTCAGAGGCTAAGCTCTAGATTTGAAAACCTGATCCAAAAAGGGAAATTAAAACAATAGCTCATTGTTAGTCCCCGTTAGTATTCTGAACTGCTATTTTATAAATTTCTATCAAAGTAAGCACGGAAATATGTGCTTTTTTCCGCCCCCCCTCCTTCCTTCTTCCCTTCCTTCCCTTCTTCCTTTCCAAAGACTGAATGGAATTGTTACCCGTGGCCAGCACGGGCTGGGCTCTTCCTGCCACCTCTGTGCTCTGAACCCCTGAGCGTGGCCAGGTTTGGGCCGGGTGGGCTCTGTGGCTTGCTTTGCTGACCCCTGTGAGTGGCCGGTCAGTCCAGAGTTGGGGACCTCAAGCTCCCACAGGCCCCGATCGACCTTGGCCTTGAAAGACCACCAGGCTCAGGCTCTGAGCAGGGACTCAAGCTAAGGTGGCTTTTGTGAGTAGGTATTGTTTGCTTATCTCTTTATTCCACCTGACACTACGGAGTCCCGGTAGGGCTGTCAGAGCTCTAGGATTGCTCCAAGGGGAGTATTTTTTTAAGCTTATTTATTAGATTTATTGTTTTTATTTTTAACGACCTAAGATGTTAACAACTTGAGATACAATTTATGTATGCTTCATTTATTCTTCATGTAATTTATGCATTCTTTTTAACGCCCAGAGCTATAATTGATGTCCGTTAAACCACATCCATGTAAAGAGTACAGTTTGATGGCTTTTGACATATGTACACGTGTAAAAGCAGCACTGAAATCCAGACACAGAGCATGTCCCTACTCCTAGAGTTCCACATGCCTCCTTGTGGTCCAGGCCTCCCCCCACATCTGGCCGCACGGGATCTCAGACCTGCTCTCGGTCACTATGGATTAGAGGCATTCCAAGAGGAGCTTTTTACATTTCTTTTCCTTTCCATTTCCAGCTTTACTGAGGTATAACTGACAAAAATTGTAATGTGTTTAAGGGGCACAGTGTGGTGATTTGATCCACATTTCCATCGTGAAATGCTCGCCACCTCAAGTTGATTAATACACCCATCACCTCACACAGTTATTTTGTGTGTGTGTGTGTTGAGAACAGTTAAGATCTACTCCCTTAGTGGATTTCAAGTATGCAATATAGTATTCCTATTGGTAGTCACCGTGCTGTATATGAGACCCCCAGAACTTTTTTATTTTATGCCTGAAAATGTGTACTTTGACCAACATTTCTTAAGACATGTTTTTGCGTTGCACAAGAGAGTTTTCTGTGAAAACTGCCAAGAAAATTAGGCTCTACAATTGCACTGTCAGCAGATTTCCAACAATGTAATCTGTGCCTACAAAAACAGACTTCCTAGCTTTTGGCAAGAATTGTCTTTACGTTAAAAAAATTCTTTAAAAAACACTTTTAGACACCTGTGTGGCTTTGATCACTTTTTTTTTTCTCTTCCTAACAGGTGGTGCTTTGTATATCAGTTGACGTATCTCAAGACTACAGCCAAGTAGAGAATGTCATAAAACAAGTAAGAGGTTGGGCTAACTGGAATTAATTCGCTTGCCTTTCAGTTGGTTCTTCCCATTTTGGTGTGTGCCTTGGAATTGATAAATCATCTCTGTAGCCTTAATAGTTGTATAGACTTTATTTATTGGCATTGATTTGCTACAAAGTTGATTCTTCTCTTCTTTTTCTTAACGCCTGCTCTGATAAATTTTTCCAGGCACAGGAGAAACTGGGCCCAGTAGACATGCTTGTGAACTGTGCAGGAATGTCACTTTCGGGAAAATTTGAAGATCTTGAAGTTAGTACTTTCGAAGTAAGTGGCCATTTGCTTTTTTGCTCATTGGGCAACTCATGTACTACAAGTAGAACAAAGCCACAGGGGAAGGCTTTGCGAATGAAACAGATAAAACACATTCAGATTTATAGAAGCTTTATAAGGCTAGGGGAAGGTTGGACGAGGTTTTGGTTCCAGCACCATGACCATCCAGCCTTAAGAGCTTAGACGAGTCTCTGGACCTTGGTTTCCCCAGCTGTAAAATGGGACATGCATCACGGTGACGATTCACCGAGGTCCTCTCTTCAAGAGAGCTCTCTGTAAGCCAAGAGATGCTGGATTTTCATCTCAATTGTCAGGGCTTTTAACAGTGGTAAACCAGAAAAGGTCAAGAGCAGACTCTTTGGAGTTCTGAAATCAAGACAAAAAGATAACGCATCCTATTTTGGCTTATATTTTTAAACAGGTTTGCCAGGGAGCGTCTCTTAGTAATTTCTGTCAGCTCTAAATAAATGGACATCAGATTTGCAATCCTTCTGAAGTACAAAACCGTTTTTTAGTTGACATGGTATCAACTCTCTTTTCCTTCATGCTCTGTTAGCCTTCGTTGTAATAGTGGATTTTGCATGCTTTACTCCGCGAAGGTCGATTACATCCCCCTTTTGTGGAGGAAGGTGCTAGAGGAGTAGTGAAGACACCCTGCTTCTGGCGGGCTGGGAGGGCGCTGTAAACTCTGTGATTTAAAGTCCAGTCGGGAGCATCCAGATGCAGCTGTAAGCAGAGGGGCGCCTTCTCTGGGACTCGAGTGTTTTAAGGCTCTTTTATCAACTCGGCATAAAAGGCGGTTGTCTTGGCCTGCACACTTGACCGTAAGTTATCAGAGGGAGATGTTGAAGATGATTTCAACAGCTGGGTTAAGAATCAGTTGGGGAAAATAGTTGTATCAGTCTAGGCGTGACACCGTGAGGTGAGACTTCGGAGGTGGCCCGCGGAGTCAGGTGTACATGAGTGTGTGTGGAAGGGTGTGAGCATGAGGGAGTGTGTGTGTGAATGAGTGTGTGCGTGTGTGTGTGTGTGTGTGTGTGTGTGTGTGTGAGAGAGAGAGAGAGAGAGGCTAAGAGAGGGGGACTCCTCAGACTCACCCTGACTGAATGTGGAGGGCAAACTCAAGGAACGGACCAGGAGGCCTGTATGGGGCAGGGCGGGTGGAGGATTAGGAGGCCTGGGGGGTAAGGGGTCAGCTTCTGGAGCGATGTGGAGCGGAGCAGGGGCCAGAAGTCCTGGGGCCTCGAAGGCCACCATGGGGAATTTGGCTTTTAGTCCAAAACCTCTGAAGGGGCTTCAGCTCAGTCGGGCGGCAGTGTGACCCGCGTTTCGGTGTTCAGAGGGTCTTCCTGCCTGCTGTGTCAGGGAGCTGTGTAGGAGGTGTCAGAGGGAGTCGGGCAGGAGGTGGTGATGCGGGGGCAGTGGTGGGTAAACTCGGAGTGAGGGGCCGGGGCACGGAGACGGGCACAGCCCTGAACAGCTTGAGTGGCTGTTAGCGGCTGCCGGAAGCGGTCCCCCCCGCAGCGAGAACCAGCCTTCTGAAAAGAAAGGACTGGTAACCCGAAGCCTGTTGTCTCTAGAGTCCCAGGGACAGGGCCTCTTCCCGGCTGCCCTGCACGCAGGTAGCGGGCCACTGTACCCAGGGGCGCGTCCCCCTCCCAGCCAGTACTTGCCCCTCTGCTCTCCTCCTTCTCTGTCTTGGTCCCCTGTGGTGTTCTGGTCAAGGCCTGGGATGTGCTCATCGTCCGGAAGTCCTGCTGGAACCCACACTGCCGGGTTTGATGCGTTTCCTGAAGAGAAGAGTTCATTTCCATGTAATGTGAATTCTCTCTCTTTTTTTTTATTTGATTGTTTTGTTTTGATTGTTTGTCTCCTTTGAACTTCACTGAGGCTCACAGAGTTCACATCACAAGGGTTCCCTGCACAGGATGGTTGAATGTGTGGTTTCAGCTCATGGCTGGGGGACCGCAGCACGTGCCATGTGACTCCCCGGGGAGAGGCCTCTTGGAAACTCGTTCCTGGTTCCTCTGGGCTCTGCCCCAGGTTCCTTTTGCCGTTGCTGATTGTGCTTTGTGCCCTCTCACTGCCATAAATCTGAGTCACGGGTACGACAAGGTGCAGAGTCCATGGGGCCATCCCAGGAATCACTGAAACTGGACGTGGTGTTGGGGAACGCCAGTGCGCCTCCCTTAATTTTCCTGTATAATGGTTTTTCTTTTGGATTCTTGGAGCTGTATCCAGCTTTATCTACCTGTAGTTATTAGTGATAAGTATTTTCACTTTTTGATTGGGGTGACATTGACTCTATAGATCCACATGCAGAGAGCTGACATCTTGACAACATCGAGTCTTTTAACCTTTGAATGTGGGATATATCTCCATTTATTTAAACTTTCTTTCGTTTCTCTCAGCAGTGTTTTGTAGTTTTCAGTGTATGGGTCTTGCACCTCATTTTTCTGTATTTCCTATTTTTTGATGCTGGTATAAATGGTATTTTTTATGTCAGTTTCTGAGTGTTCATTGCTAATGTAGAGAAATTCAGTTGATTTTTGTGTGTTGATCTTGCCATCTTGCTAAAGTCCATTATTAATTCTGGTGCTCACTGGATTTTCTACATTTAAGATCATGTCATCTGCAACAGTTTTACTTTTTTCTGTTCCCGTCTGGGTACCTTTATTGTACTGGCGAGAACATCTAGTACAGAACAGGAGTGGTGAGGGCAGACATGCCTGTAGTGTTCCCGACCTTGGGAGAAAACTTTTTTTTTTTTAACCATTAAGTATGATGTTTGCTGTAGTTCTGTTCTCTTTTGTTGTGTTTGGGCGGATGCCCTTTATCAAGTTGAGAAACTGCTATTCCTAGTTTGCTGAGAGATCTTTTGTTTTTTGTTTGTTTTTGGTTTTTTTGAGAGAGAGCATGCACAAGTTGGGGGCGGGGAGGGGCAGAGAGAGAGGGAGAGGGAGAGAATCTTAAGCATGCTCCACGCCCAGCGTGGAGCCCAACAGGAGGCTGGATCCCACGACCCTGAGATCGTGACCTGAGCCAAAATCAAGAGTTGGACACTCAACCGACTAAGCCATCTAGGCGCCCCTGCTGAGAGTTTTTATAAGGAATGGAGGTTGAATTTTGTCAGGTGCTTTTTCTGCATCTGTTGGGATGATCACAGAGTTCTTTTTTAGTTGATATGGTGAATTACACTAATTAATTTCCAATGTTAAACCAGCCTTGCATTCCTGGGCTAGACCCCAGTTGGCTATTAATCCTTTCTGTGTTCTTGAGGGACATTAGTTGGAGTTTTCTTTTCTTGTAATGTTATTTTCCGATTTTTGTGTAAAGGTAATGCTAGCCTTTTAGCATAAGTAGGGGAGTATTCCTTCCTCTTCACTTTTGTGGAAGGATTTGTGTAGAATTGATACTTCCTTAAATGTTTGCTAGAATTTACCAGTGAAGGCTGAGCTCATCTTTGTGGGAAGCTTTCTAACTTTAATTCAACATCTTCAGTAGATCTGGGGCTACATTTGTCTCTTTTTTTTTTAAAGATTTTATTTATTTATTTGAGAGAGAGAGGTAGAGAGAGAGAGAACGAGGTAGGGGAAGGGGCAGAGAGAGAGAATATCCAAGCAGACTCCCACTGAGCACAGAGCCTATCAGATCAAGTGCGGGACTTGATCTCATGATGCATGAGATCAGGACCTGAGCCAAAACCAGGAGTCAGCCGCTTAACAGACTGAGCCACCCAGGCACCTCTACATTTGTATCTTCTTACTATTTCTTTTTTGAGTGACCTTTGGTAGCTTGTGTCTTTCAAGAAATTTGTCCATTTCGTCTAAGTCATTGAATTGATGGGCGCGGAGTTACTCATCGTATGCTCTTAATCATCCCTTTAATGTCTGTAGAGTTTGTAGTGATAGCACCTCTCTTCATTCTTGATATTGATAGTTTGTGTCCTTTATCTTTCCTGACCAGGGGGACTAGAGATTTATCACTTTTATGGATCTTCTCAATAACTAGCTTTCGGTTTTATTAATTTCCTGTTGTTTTTCTGTTTTCTATTTCATTTATTTCGTCTCTTATTTTTATTATTTCCTTTTTTCTGCGTACTTTTGTTTTAACTTGCTCTTCTTTTTGTAGTTTTCTCGGTGGAAGCTGAGGTCATCCATGTGAGAGTCTTCCTCTTCAAATGCAGATGGTTTTGCCATGAGTTTCCAGCTAAGTGATGCTGAAGCAGCAGCCTACACATTCTGATATGTTGTATTTTCACTTCAGTTCAGTTAGAGATATTTTATAATTGCTCTTTTCATTTCTGCTTTGACTCTTGGATTATCTAAAAGTGTGTTACTTAGTTTCTGAGTATTTCGGAGATTTTCCAGAAATAATTTCTGTATCGATTTCCGATTTAATTCCATTGTGGCCAGCAGACATACTTTGTATGACTTGAAACCTTTAAAATTTGTTGAGACTTGCTTTTGGCCCAACATGCAGCCTCTCCTGTGGCCGTTCCATGTGTGCTGGAAAGAACATGTATTCTGCTATTTTGGGTAGAGTGTTCCGTCAGTGTTGATTAGGCCCAGTTGGCTGAAATGTTGTCCAAGCCTTCTATGTCCTGACTGATTTTGTGTGCCCTTGTTCAGTCAGTGACTGAAAGAGGGGTATTGAAATCTCGAATTATAATTGTGGATCTGTCTGACTAGGTTTTAAACAGACTTTTAGGAGCGTCTGGGTGGCTCAGTCAGTTAAGCATCCAAGTCTTGATGTCAGCTCAGGTCATGATCTCAAGATTCTGAGATCGAGCCCTGTGTTGGGCTCTGTGCTGGGTGTGGAGTCTGCTTGAAATTCTCTCTCTCCCTCTGCCTCTGCCCCTCCCCTGCTCCACTCATGCACACCCGCATGCTCTCTCTAAAAAGGAAATAATATAAATAAATAAATAAATAAATAAATAAATAAATAAATAAATAAATAGACTTTTAGCTGATACGCCTGTCTTTTAGGCCCATGCTTAGCCTCCTGCCCCCGGAGGTGCTTTTGGTGCTGTTCGAGCCTTTAGGGGTTCTGTGGTGCAGTCCTGCTTTTCAGTTTCTCTGCTCCTTGCTTAGCATTCAGCTCTCTGCTAAGTTCGTTATCGGTCACCATTCTGTTTTTCAGCTTCCAGAATGTTCTTGCTGTTACTTTGTTTCCTATTGTCTATGTTCCTGTAGGCTGTTGGCCTTTAAAAAAATATTATCTTTTTACTGAGTTTTTAGTGGGGTCTCTGAAGGGAGCTGAATTTAACACTTGGGTTTAGCGTGCTATCTTTTTTCAGTACTTTTTTTAGAGCATTTTTGTTATCAAAGTAATGTAGTGATATTAAAAGACATTTTGGGGAAAGTGGGAATCCCAGCATCCTAACACCATCACTTACAAATTTATTTATTTTTTTATTTGGTGGTGGGGGGGAAGAGCATGGGGGAGGGGGGGAGGGAGATGGCAAGGGAGAGAGAATCTCCAGCTGACTCCCTGCTGAGCGTGGAGCCTGTCATGGGCCTTGAACTCATGACCCATGAGATCACGACCTGAGCCAAAATCAAGAGTAAGACTCTCAACCGACTGCACCACCCAGGTGCCCCACTACCACTTACAGTTTTCTATACTTTGTTTAGCACCTGTGCCCACGTACTTTCATTTACTATTTGAATTAGTTACAGTCATAGTGTCAATATAGTATTGTATGTCGTCTGCTTTTTTAAACTTGCAGAACAACTATTTCCTCCATCCTCCTGGTGTTTCTGGTCACCATCTCTAAAAGCTACATAACATTCTGTAGAGTTAACATGGCATGGTTGACTCAGAGTTCCTCAATGAAGTGTTTGGTTTCACATGCTGATAGATCTAGTATTTTTCCAAGACTTTTAATATAGAGTCATTTTGATGCAAGTACTTTTAGATTTCCAAGTTAAAATGTAAGATTTTTAAGAGTTCCCAGGATGAAGAGAAAATAGACTCTTGGTACCTATGTAAGCTCTTACCCATTATAATCTAAGAGCCAATGTTGGTCAGGCACTTACTGCGGGTCAGAGGCTGTGCTGTCTCTTGACTTGTGTTTCGTCTTTCAGTTCTTCCAACAGCCCTCTGAGATAGTACCAGCATGAGCCCTGGGTTCAGCTGCAGAAATAAGTAGAGTGTCTGACTTTCTTCATCATCAAGTAGGTAGTAAATGGTCAAGCCAAGGCTTCAACCCACAGTCCATGCTATTAATCACTGTCTTAGCCTCTTTATGATCTTTCTGTAGCTTAGAACTAGTAGGGTTAGAAATATTTGGGGGCTTTTTCCTAAAACTGTCTGGAAGTATTACCTGCAAGACACAGTGTACTTCTGGTAAGGAGAAAACTAATCCTGGCCAGTTTTCAGCAAAGACATCACTGTGGTCATGGTGAGAATACAAGACTAGATTGAAAGAAAGAGGCTTCAGATGGTAGATCCTGAGCATCATGGCTCATTTACAGGCTCATCTCATCATTCATTCCTTCAACACATCCACTGGGGTCCCAGTCACTTGGGCTCCACTGAAGAACTCAAATCTGGAGAGCAGACAGAACTCCTGTGAAGCACAGCCTCGAGGCTTTGACCTTGCTCACCTCTTGTGTGGCTCTTTGTTCCCTGCAGAGACTAATGAGCGTCAACTACCTAGGCAGCGTGTACCCCAGCCGAGCAGTAATCACCACCATGAAGGAGCGCCGGGTGGGCAGGATCGTCTTTGTCTCCTCCCAGGCAGGACAGTTGGGGTTATTCGGTTTTACGGCCTACTCTTCGTCCAAGTTCGCCATCAGGGGATTGGCTGAAGCCTTGCAGATGGAGGTAAACGCTGTGTTCAATTTTTATATTTATATCTTCTAACTCAGCAATGTGTGTTCACCTTTAGTTTGTGGCCCCTTTACACATGTTGTCAGTGAATTAGACATTTGTAAACTTGACATCAGTGAAAGAGAATCGGCTCAACCCTTGCATTTTGCAGTTAACGTTTTTCATTGCATAAAGATTAGGATAGAAGCCAAATGGGTGTGAGGTGTTTTGCTTGCTTAATTTAATACACAAAGTACTACTAATATTTACATGGTATTTTTGGCCTAATACTATGTGAGTATGTATCAGGTTAACCAGATATTTTATTCTCTAGAGGTGTTCCTATAACAAGGAGATGTGTCCTTTATGACTGGATAATAAACTTAGCATGTGTTTGAGGGAAAAGCTTAAATCACCTACTGTCTAGCTCTCAGCTTTTAGACAAATCATTTAACTTGGTCTGTTTCCTTTTCTGAAAAACAAGGTGGTTGGACTAAAAATATCATTTGGCTCTCCTGATACTTACATTTTAATATCTTAAAGAAATATTGATGAGAGCGAACACTTTTTATTTTCCCAGTTAATAGAGCATGTTGTGAAGGAGGATTAGCATCAAAATAAGTGTTTGTCATGATGTGACAACCTTCACACAACCTCAATTGTGTGAAGCAGACTTCTGCACTGTTGTCAAGTGGGGATGCTTAGAGAGCACCACACATATCTATCCCAAATCACACACCGAAAAGGCAAAGTGAAATTTCTTCCTATTGTGATATAGACTGAAATATAACGCCACATCATGATGTTAAAAGCCCAGAAGAGAAGTCATTGTGACCCACCCTCTCCTAGTAAGAGTGTGATATGGGGATTCTGTTTACTGATTTAGATTAGGGGTTAGCACATTTTTTTGTGTCAGGGCCAGCTTGTAAGTATTCTAGCCTTTGAGGGGAGAATGGTGTCTGTTGCAGCTCCTCCAGCCTCCTGAGATCAGGAAAGCAGCCGTTAGTGATAGGTGAATGAACGAGTATGGCTGTGTTCCAATAAAACTCTATTTATAAAAACAGGTCGGAGGGGCCAGATTTGTCCCACAGGCCATAGTTTGCTGACCCCTGATTTAGAAAATCCCCAGAAGAGCCCTCGATGGTGTGTGACAGAGTGCCTCACCGCCCAGCTATTAGACAAGCATTGCAGTACAGATGACCTGTCTGGTCAGTGACACTATCCTGATGTGCCACTTAGGGACTGGTTGACTGTGCCATGCTCATCAAAAAGGAACCAGTCCCAAATTTCCTTTTTATCAACTTGCTTAATACTCTTAATGATGGGTCATTATGATACGTTTAGCCAATGAGGCACATATGGCTGTGAAATTTCAAAACAAGAATACCAGTATTTCTTTTGCAGTGTTTACTTTGAAAGCCCCTTTGCGAATAACCACTTGACTTTTATAACAGTTTTATGAGGTATGTGTGGCAGATGTTGTTATGCCACCTTAACAGATAGGAACGCTGAGTTTTCAGTAATTCATTCTGCTCAAAGCCAGATCGTTATTTTGCAATAAAAATAGTAACAAAGTCCTTGCCTCCTGGCTCCCTCTGCCTATCTTCAGCAGCAGCTGATGTGTCTATAATTCAGGTCAGAAGTTGCCAGATTCATCTGGCTGGTTGTCTCAGCCCTCCACTTTGGTCTCAGACACCTGCTAAGGGAAGGACTATTTTGGAAGTGAAAAATCTGCTTATTAGGGCTTTTTGTTCCTAAGTCTTGTCTTGCAGAACTACTTCAGGATTCACTAATTGAGGGCAGAGTGTGTAATCTGGGTGGCCTGGTTTCACTTCAGGTAGAACAGAGACATTACTAAAGAAGAGGGAAAAAGGAAGTGAGTTGCTAGTACGGACAGAGTCCCCGAAGCCTCTTTGTGACAAGCATGATTCACCCGCAGCTTGTAGCTGGTCTGGACTTGAAGTCTGCTTGACTTCGGTCGATATTTAGAACCCATGAAAAGTGTCCCCTCGTAAACACAAAATGAAATTAACATGTACCACGAAGGAAATAAATTCATTAATCAAAATCTAGCTTTGTTCGTAGCAGACTTGCATCAAAACCATTGTTTCCCTACAAACGTATGGTGCTGTGTTTAGAAACCTGGATAATTCCATTGGCTTTGCCAAGGTTTTTTCCGTGCATGAAACAGATCTTACAGAATTGCTCAGGCTCTTAAGTACTTTTTGATAATCCTTTTTGGTTTAATTAACTCTTAAGCCTTCCTGTCCACCTGCCCTTTGCCCTACAAACTAAAGTAGGACCCTAGAAATGTTTTGTGTACAATGAATACGTTTGAAAGAATGCTTCGTTGCATTTTTTGGTCTTTTTTTTTCTTTAACTCAGTCTTTTAGGCATAAATATATGATTTAAAGATTCTAAAAGTTATTTTTTTTGGAAAGCAGACTTCTTTTTTAAGATTTTATTTATTTGAGAGAGAGGGAGAGAGAGAGAGAGGTAGAAGCAGACTCTCCACTGAGCAGGGAGTCCCACATGGGGCTCGATCCCAGGACGCTGGGATCATGACCTGAGCCAAAGGCAGATGCTTAACCGACTGAGCCTCCCAGATGCCCCTGGAAAGCAGACTTCTGACATGGGTTATAGCCAAAGATGTGGTAGCAGAGACCAAGTAAAAGCAAAATAGTCTTTGTGCCTCCCTCGAAGGTGGTGAAAAGGAAGCTGAAGCTTACCTTCTGGAGCTTCTCCTCCACAGCTCTGCTTCTCTCTCCAGCACCGCCCCCCCCCACCTTTGTTTTGATGGAATTAGGAACTACACATTTTGGGTGGGATTATTTTGATGACAAATTGGTTCTCGAGCAGAGGGTTGGCTTTCTGATTGAAATGGAGACCAGGGAGAAGGAAGAGACTGACAGAAGGAGGGTAGTGGGCAGAGTGGGAGGACAGAGATCGGTCTGTCAGCAGGGAGGAGGGCAAACACACAGTGGTAAGGTCAGCGGGGGAATCAGCTAGTGAAGTCCCAGCCTATTAATTCTCAGAGAAAGTGGTGATCCCTGGGAGTCAGCATTGTCTTAGCAGGAACACACGAAGCCAAATTAACTGCCTTTCCTTTTCCGCTGGGGTTATGGGATTAGTTGATTAAAGGAGAGTGAAGATATACTTTGGTGTATTTCGATTTTTACCAATTATTTGACCCAGAGTTTCAGGAGACTGTAAGCTCCACGAGGGCAGAGACTCTCTCTGAATTGCTGACATCAGATCTTCATTCATAGACCAATAACAGCGCACAGTAGCCCCTCAATAAGTGTGTGTTGGATGAAGAAATAAAATGATTAGGTGACTAGCCACTGGAGGTCTCCAGCCCTAGGTGGAGAGAATCATTTGGATTCATGACTGTAGGGATGACACCAGCCCCTGGAAAGGGGCGGGACTGGTTTCTCCCAGCCCTGACGGTCTGTGCCCAACCCAGGAGAGAGCTGTTCTGAAAGGTTCTTTCAGCCATTCGGCAGCTCAGCCATAACCTTGAATCCGAGAACCATGGCTTTGACGTACCGTCTGCTATCAGCTGAGGCCACAGCCCTGACGTGTCGCAGGAGGAAGCGGGGGCCACAGAAGCAGCAGAGAAATGACCGTGTCCGAGCAGAGTTGGCTTCAGGCTTCCTGTGGGCCAGTTACCGCCTCTCGGCGTTTTCGGTGGTGTTTTTGTCTGGTCTGTGGACCACAGAGGGCAAGGCCGTGGGAGACAGTTTTTAAAGTCACTCTCTCAAAAACAAGTGGAGGAGAAATTGCTTGCTCATCAACCTCACTGCCTGGCCTGAATGCAGAGCTATTTATGAGCATAGCTGACCTTCGTGCTGACTGAATGGGCTCTCTCAGGCCTGAGTGCGCTGGAGCTGGACCAGCAAAGACATCACCCTCGGCTCTTGGACTTTTCAGGGTGGCTGGCCAGGATCTTCTGCCTCTGTGCTGCTCCCGACCCTTGCAGCTCCCCCCACAGGCTTAGAACTCTGCCTCACGGAGGGACCCAGGGAGGAAAAGGCCTCTGTGACAAGATGGGGCCCTGGGATGCTCTCAGAGGCTGTTGCGTGAGGAAGCGGTCTTGTCACTCGTCAGCCTCCTTGAGATACATGGTGGCCTCTCTGCCACCAGCTGCCTGTCCACTCTCACTCCCCTAGGTGCTGTCCTGGGGCTAAACAGTGAGCCAATAGCAAATAAAATAGGGCAGCAATTTCAATGGTATGAACTATCGCCCTTAGAACCACTAAGAATCAGGGCCAGATGAGCGTGTGGAGCAGGGCCGCTGAGGAGCGGGATCTTTGGGAAGGGTGTGTCCTGGCTGACTAGCAGGAGAATCTTCTGGAATCTTCTTGTTGGGGGTGTGTTTATGAATAGCAAATTTCAGTGTGGGGACCTGGTGGTGAAGTAAACAAGCCTAAGAGCCCGTGTCAAGCTGGGAAGGAGTTTCTGTATGGAAGGAGGTTGTCTTCCGGGAGGTGCTCGGCTGGTCTGACCCGGGACTCAGCCATGTTGGTTCTGTGGCGGAGGGCAGAGTGACTCTTGACTCCCTCATGGGCAGAGGCTGGTTGCATGGGGAGTTCTTGATCAGGCAGACGTCTCAGGGGATCCATGTAGTTGTAGGCCAGGGTCTGGGGTGGCACAAGAAGGGCCTAGGGAAAGGGTTTTGAATGATCTTCATGTATTTTGTAGATGAAATCAATAAGAATTTCAGAGGCAGCCATTGAGGAAGCCAGATTTGCAGTCTGATGGCAGAGGAGTGGACCTGTCCCATTGGCTCGCACGCAGGGCCCAAGTGGTGTCGGGGTGGGGGCGGGGGGACAAGTAGACTTCCTTTTAGCTGCCCACCTTCCTCCCGGACTGCTCCCAGGGCCTCCCCTGGCCAGGGGGTGGGCAAAACTTAGAAGGACGTGAATCTCTGTACCTCAGGGCCAGCTGCCTTCTGAAGTAGAAGTTGTTGGGGTGGGCTTTTTGCCCTTCTTTCTAAATGATCTTCGTGGAGAGGAGTTTCCTGACCCGATCAGGGCTGGTTCTCCACTTGCAGAATCACCTTGTTGGTCTTGCCAGCTTCTGAGAGAATTAGGACAGTATTCACTGCATGTGCCTGGCAGCCAAGGCAGGAAAATGAAGGAAGAAGTGGAATTGTATCTTGTTTACTGAAGGGGCACGTGTTGTTTCTGAAATGCAGGTGAAGCCATATAATGTCTACGTCACAGTTGCCTACCCGCCAGACACAGATACCCCTGGGTTTGCAGAAGAAAACAAAACCAAGGTAAGTGTTGGCCTGTGTCTATTTTGAGCCTTTAACATTGTAAACCCCTTTTCCAGTTTTCTGACTTTCCACCCATCAGCCTGGAGTCATTTTCATCAGTCAGAAAATTGAGTTCTTTTCAATTGACGTGCTAGGTAGAGGCCTCTGGACTTTCTGGAACTTTCATGTGGGGTCTTAGAGAATGCAGCCTGTATTTTCCAAGGCCATGATTTTTGCTAATAATCTTCAAAGGCTTACTTAATTAATAAGGTATTTTCTTTGTAGTGTTGCGTATGGCCTGTATTTTTAACTGAGATGATACTCTTTAATAATAATATTCTCTCCTGTGAACTCACACTCTTGGTTGCCGATCCTGACTTACCATTTCAAATGGACCTTAGGCCCCTCGTTCCCGGCTCGTCAACTTTTCGTCTCGTCGCCTCACGCCCAGCGTCCGCCCAGTGCTCGGGCCGGTACCTGAGGAGCCAGCCTCATTTCTTCTCCCACACCACTCATCCGCCTGACTGCGCATCCTCTTGGTTCCCCTCTCAGAACTTTTCCTGAATAAAAGGGGCGCCTGGGTGGCTCAGTCGTTAGGCGTCTGCCTTCGGCTCAGGTCACGGTCCCAGGGTCCTGGGATCCAGCCCCGCATCGGGCTCCCTGCTCGGCGGGAAGCCTGCTTCTCCCTCTCCCACTCCCCCTGCTTGTGTTCCCTCTCTCGCTGGGTCTCTCTCTGTCAAATAAATAAATAAAATCTTTAAAAAAAACAACGAAAAACCACAAGTATCAGTATTATCCTAGTAATAATAGCTGCTATTTTTGCCTGAACTGCTCTTACCAGTCTTCAAACTGGTCTGCTCGCTTCTGCCCCCTTCTCCCCATCCCCGTTGGTTCTTCACACAGGGGCCAGTAATCCTTTTAAAGCATAAGTCAGTCTTGTCACTCCCCTGTTCAAACCCCTCTGCTGCAGAAAAAGCCAAAAACAAACCCCCAAAGACCCTTCCTGTGCAGCACAGTCTAATAGAATTCTCTAGAATGGAAATGTTCTATGTCTGCACTCTCCAATATGGTAGTCACATTGTGGCTGTTGAACACTTGAAATGTGGTTAGTGGGACTCCCCATCATAAAACTGAATTTTTAATGTAATTTTATTTAATTTGATTCATTTAAAATTAGCACTACAAAGCACATGTTGGAATATGTTGTGTATTGGTGAGTGTGGCTCTGCTGGTTCCCATCATGCCTAGAGTAGAATCCAGAGGTCTTGAGGCTTATTGGGTCCTGCACTGTCTGGACCTTGGCCACCTGTCCACAGCGTTGTCTCCTCTTCTTGGCCTCAGCCATACCAGAGCCCCGTCTGTTCCTTGAGCTTGCCCAGCCTTTGGTCTTGCTTTGCTCTTGCTTTCCTCTCTCTCTGGATGTTCAAGTGGCTTAATTCTTTGCTTCTTCTTCTTCTTTTTCTTTTTCTTTTTTTATAGATTTTATTTATTTATTTGTCAGAGAGAGTGCACAAGCAGGGGGAGTGGCAGGCAGAGGGAGAAGCAGGCTCCCCACTGAGCAAGGATTCCAATGCAGGGCTCAATCCCAGGACCCTGGGATCATGACCTGAGCCGAAGGCAGATGCTTAACTGACTGAGACACCCAGGCGTCCCCCCTTGCTTCTTTGTCTCGGTACAGACTTCACCCTGAGAGGCCTTCCCTGACCCTCTGTATCATACATCACTCCCTTGGAATATTCACCATCCTTTCCTCTGGCTTTATTTTTCTTTATAATGCTTATCACCACTGGACATTTACATTATATACAATGACAGTCATGCTGAGCTGAATGCAAGCTTTGCACTTTGTTCCAAGGAGCTTCTTCTTTGCCTTGATGTGTAGTGGGGCACCCTGTGAGCAAATGAATCAAGTGGAGAAGAAAGGAATCGATCAGAACTTACTACCTTGAATGGGTGTTGATTGGTTTTCTTCTCCTTTATAGTGTGAGGCTCTGCAGCATAAAAATTGGCACTTATGCCCCATGGACTGTATATTTGCAAAAAGATGTTATGATTTAGAAGTTTTTTTTTCCCCCATTCATTTCTCTTTGGCTCTGCCTCTTAAGATTACCACTATTGCGAAGAAGTAAATTTAAGCCAAATGCCTCTGCTAAGCAGATTTGCAACATTTGGTAACAGTCTTTTCGTTGGAAGCCAAAGCTGACAAAGAGTGGTGATTTCCCTGTGAAGATTTGATTTTGATGTTAAGTTGGGTTTTTTCCCTCCAGTAGTATAGTGTTGACCCGACTTCTTTGGATAAATCAAATTCTGTGTTGGTGTGTAAGCTCTTTAGGGAGCGCCATGATGCTTTTAAATCTAATGTGTGTCTGGCCGGGTTGTGCCTGCCTGGTGGTCTGGAAGAAGGAACGGCCCCTTCAGAAGAGCCTTGCTCTTAATTCAGGTTCATCAAAAAATATTTGACTTTTATGAAGTGCTATGCTTTTCTAATTTAAGAAAATACATTCTGTGTTTTTATTTTAATATTCTCAAGCCTACATGGTAAATAAAATTTACAGTTTCATGCAATTTAAGGCTTTAGTTTTAGAACTTCTAATTGAAACACCCTTTTAAAGAATTTCTGAACCCTTGTTCATGTCACTGTAAACAGAAGATTAAAAAAAAAAAAAAAAAAAGACCTGGCCCACAAGGAACTTAGGAGGTAAAATGCAAATACACACGTAGCTATAATATCTGTTAAGGCAGAAATATGCAGATATGAGAAGAGAAAGTACTGCTAGGTGAGAATTCAGGAAAGGCTTTTTGAACTAAGTGGCCATTGAGAGGGACCTTTAGCCACCTCGGATTTGGGGTTCTGATGCACCAGCCCGATAGTGAGCACCCAGTCATGCCCAGGGCCCCTCAGTGTTTTCTGTCCCATCCTCCTTGTTGCCTCCTCTGCGGGTTTTCTAAGAAGCAGCTGTGTTGTTGAACAGGGGCTGGGCTGGGGCTCTCTCTGCCCAGGGCCTCAGCTCAGTCCACGTGTCGGTCCTTTGCTGGCCTGGGAATGTTTGGTCAGAACGGAGATGCTGGTCATAAGGCAAACTTGCTCAGGGCGCATGGTCTAGGCTCTGCATAGACACTGCTGGTCAGGTGGCCCGCAGTGAGGATTCCCCCAGACTTGGACCCATGATGCGGTCTCATTCTAGCTTTGGTGGTCACATATTGTCCCACGGAGGGCAGCAGGGGCCTCCTTGTCTCACTGTAGCCACTGGATTGAATTTTATACAGTGACCAGGGAGAAACTGACTTAGAATCTGGACAGACCTGATTCCTAAAAGTAGGAATCTGCTTGAAGGTAGAAAGCTGGAATTCTTTATAAAGTAGGGGAGAGACGATTGTGAGAATTATTTGTTCTTGAATTTAATGGCTGATAATGGTATTGATATGTCTGTTTTTTCCCACCTTTAGCCTTTGGAGACTCGTCTGATTTCAGAGACCGTATCTGTTTGCAAACCAGAGCAAGTGGCCAAACAAATTGTTAAAGATGCCATAGTAAGTACAATACTTATTTTCTTTCTTAATAGTTTTAGTACTAGATTTCTGAAAAGAAATACTATATTTGTCCCAGGGCTTATTTCAAAACATAAATTACCGTGTCTTTTTGGCCAGATTCATATCTAATATTGGACTATTCTTTTCCCCTGAGATACTTTATTGATTCCATGTTAATTCATAGGCTCCTGGAAACTAATTACATATCTTAACCTTAGGAACAGATTGATGAGTAAGGATGCCTGGGAACTTTGGTTCTTTCAGAAGAACACGAGACTTCCCTGTCGTGTGTAAATGGTGTGTCCTAGATCCTGTCGGCCCGCTGCCTTCTTGCTGCTTTCCCACAGTACTTGCCGTTGTAGATGAGTTTAGGTACTTTATTAAATGCCGGACTCGTTGATTAAGGATTTTTTTTCTTTCACCTTCTTGCTTCCCAATATCATTTTCCCAAATGTTCACTAATAAGGATGTGTGTCCAGGCTACTGAGTTTATTTGGAGTCAAAAGTGGAAACCATGTGCCTGCCATTTTGTAGAACCCACATACGTGCCCCATAGACTTTTGACCAACACGTAGAACAACCTGCACTAATGAGGGGTGTCAATAAGCTTTAGGCCTCCACCGCACGTAGGAAATTTGAGGACCCTCGGAATGAGGTGTCAGCGAGCCGTGCAGCCGCCCTGAGGGCCGCATGCGCTGTGAGCATGAGCCCGGACTGAGCAGAATACAAGAAGCACCCAATCACCCAGCTCTCTGAAGATCCACACAGACGTTGGAAGCTGTGCCCTGACTGTGTTTGGAGGCCTAGAAAGATGGTCCTGGTGGATTAGGATGGTGTTTCCTGCTCCCCTCACATCATAGCAAACACACTCAGTGTTTTCAATGATCTGAAATAGCTCTTTGTGTTTTGGTAGGATTCATTTAGTCTGGTAGTTTTCAAACTTCATTTCTTGACCACTTTGCACACGAAACTGTTGACAGTCCCAGAGACTTCTTTACATGTTTGTATTTATCCATAGTTGCCATATTAGAAATTAAAATGCCATAATCTTTTTTTTTTAAAGATTTTATTTATTTATTTGAGAAAGAGAGAGAGGGAGCACAAGCAGGGGGAGCGGCAGAGGCAGAGGGAGAAGCAGGCTCCCCGCTGCACTGAGCAGGGAGCCCCATGTGGGACTCGATCCCAGGACCCTGGGATCATGACCTGAGCTGAGGGCAAACGTTCAACCAGCTGAGCCTCCCAGGTGCTCCAAAACTGCATAATCTAAAAAATATTTATTTATTAATCCATTTAAAGTAGCCACAGTAAACCTGTTACATTTTGATGGAATCTTTCTACCATAATAATTTTCCAAAATAAAACATTAGTGCGAAGAGTGCCTTTGTTTTAGGTTTCACCAATCTCTTTAATGTTGGTGTTGCTAGAAGACAGCTGGATTCTCACGGCTGCTTCCATATTCACTCTGCTGTAATATGTTTTGTGGAGTGAAGGGTATAAAGAAAATCTGCCCTTAGACAGATATGTAGTTAGGAAAGGGAGGAATATTTAATGGACTTTTCAGATAATTGTGGACATTCTTTTTTGATATTAAACCCAAACTGGATGAATAGTAGTTTCTTAAAAGTTAATTACAGCATGGGGTTGGAAACTACATTAATGAACTTTTTGTTCTCTGTTACATTAAATTCCGTTGGTCTTTGCACTTCGCATGTTTTGTACCCATTCTTGATTTTGTAACATTATGCATTAGTCATTTGGAAAATATGGGTTCACTGAGTTATCAGAAAAATTACATCCATGCATATCACTGCTGGTCTGATCATAAAAGTCTACATATTGGGAAGCTGACAGTCTCACAATGGCAGATAGGTTTTCACAAATCTTAATTTTTCCTTGAAAGCTCAGATTTTAACACTGACCATAAAAGCTGCCAATTCTCCTTGAAGTGACAGGCTCATTTTATTCATTTTCCACAAAATGTCTTCCAAATACCCAAGTCTGAATAACAGATTAAGTTTCATGACTTAAACAGTTGGAGGAGGGCCTTTCTGCAGGGCAGCCGTCCCCCTTGGGTACAGAACACAGCAGAAGGCACTGGGTGTATATTCTCTTTTTGTCACCTAGAGTATTAAGAAGACTTGCCTGTAAGGGTTGAGGTTTAATAAAGTGATTAATTTTACAGCTTTATCTAGGGCATTTTAAAGTAAAACTGACCTTTTAAAATCTTTGAAAGATTTTAAAATTTCCGTTTACTTATTGCTGCAAGTATGCGTGGCCGTGGCGAGACATCGCTAACTGTGATTTGTGCTAATGAGCCAGCAGTTTTGCCCATCAATGCAAATGTCAGTGAAAAGGCAGTTAAGGTCTTAGTATTATTATGACAATCATTTTGTCCTCCTGGGTCCTCTGAAAGGGTCTCAGGACCCCCAGTGTTCATGGAGCCACATTGTGAGAACCTCCTGTGTAGCCATTCCGGCCCATCTCCCAAGGCCATGTTTGTTGGCTCAGCTTCGACATAAGCTGTTACGCTCGTATGCCACCTAGAGTGGATGCACTTCATTGTTTCTTTATTTCTTTATTTCTTTATTAGAGAGAGAGAGCGTGCAAGCAAGCAGGTGAGGGGCAGAGGGAGAGGAAGTGAGAGAGAACCTTAAGCAGGCTTCTTGCCCATTGTGTAGCCCCACATGGGGCTTGATCTCAGGACCCTGAGATCATGACCTGATCTCACATCAAAAGTTGGACACTTAACTGACTCAGCCACCCAGGTGCCCCGCACACTTCATTGTTTCTGATGTGTTGATTCCTTTTCTGGTTACTACTGTTGCCTCTTTTCTCCTCCTATTTTAGCAAGGGAATTTTAACAGTTCCATTGGCTCAGACGGGTACATGCTGTCATCCCTGACCTGTGGAATGGCTCCTGTAACTTCTATTACTGAGGGGCTCCAGCAGGTGAGCTATGCTTACACCACCAGACAGACGGACTGACAGACGGACAGTGCCTCTCATTAAAACCCAATGAGAAAAGGTTAACAGAAGACTTGGTTAACTTTATCTGGGGATGTGGAGGATTTCTACTGCAGTATCACTTGTTTCTCTTGCTGTGGCAGCGATAAGAAACTAGGGCATAGGTGAAAGACGCCACCTGAGGGGTTCACCAAGGGAAGTAGTCTTCTGAGCTCTGGGCACCGTGGATATAGAGGGGGAATGCTGTGTCTGCTCTCGGGGTGCTCACTCAGGTTCTCATGTGAGGGCCACTGGTCTGAGGATTTGCGGTAGAGTGATGTAGGGTACTGGGCATCAGACCAGAACCCCTCTTCTAGGTGAGTCAGGTCACAGGCAGCTATGCTTAGGGAGGTACAAGTCAAGGATTCAGTGCAGACCCTACTCTTAGGTGAGCTCTGGTTCATCCAGGCCACACAGAAGTTAACTGCTGGTTGATGCGCTGGGTGCTGTGTTTGCTACTGGAGAATCAGAGGGGGAGCAACCTCTCCAGCTCCTCGGGGGCTCACAGTCTAGTGGGAGAGACGGACAGAGAGGTGGTACTAATGCAGTGTAATAGAACAAGTTATAATAGAGGGCTGGCTCTGCACAGACCTGATGATGGATGGTGCAGTGTAGAGGGAGGGCTGGAAGGCTGCCTGAAAAGGGGCTGTCTACCCTAGTGGGTAGTTTATGACCAAGTACTAAGCTATGTGCAGTAGACCGTGTCCAGACTAAAAACCCGAATGACTTGTGTGTGGACTTTCTTCACTCTTCTCTTCCATGACTTCGTTGACCCTCTCTTAGAGGTAGATGCTGTATTCCATGTAAGCTCTCTGAGGACGGCCCCTCACAGCCAGTAGCTGGCACATAGTGGGAACTTCAGGTGCCCGAGTAGAGCAAATGCATTAAGTCCACGCATTCTGTGTGGCCATCTTGTCGCTTCTCCCGTTTCCACATGAGTGATGCCCGACATAAAACTTCAGCCCGTAGCTATTTCCTCCACTCCAGTTCTGTATAAATTTCTCTAAGGTGTTTTCCCGGGGCTGTGACCTCACATCTCCAGTTCCACATGCCTGTAGTAATGCTTAGCATCCCGTCCCGACCTCCCCATCACCGAGTCTATTGTCTCCGTGATCGGGATCCATGTTCATGTTCACTCAAGAGCCCAACGAGGAAGAGGGTGTCATCCTGGACCCCCTCCTGCCCCTCATGTGAGGGGTCAGGTTCATCTCTCCTCCATCCAGTCCTGGCTCCCCTCCTTTCCCAGCCCCACGGCTGCTCCCCCCGTTCAGGCCTGGGACACTGCAGTCAGCTCCCTGCCTGCGTCTCATGCTCTGTGAGTCAGAGGAGGTCACCTGGGGGCCCGTGGGTCTATAAAATGTTTTGTTTGGTTCATCTGGTATATGAGTGTGTGTGTGTTGAAATAAAATGGTTTTAAAATTAGATTTTCCACAAAAAGTCCAGATTTCGGACTTTGCGTGGGAAATCAGAGACCTGACAGTACAGGGTCTGCATTCTCAGTGGCAGTAATCAGCTGGGGTAGCTGGCAGCCACTCTGTTCTATGGGCCACGGCCCCCCATCCCAGGGGGCTCACAGCACCCTGCCCCAGGCCCAGGTGCAGCCGACTGCCATCACATTGGCATGCGGGCTTTCTGAACTGCAAGTCCACCTTGCAGGGCAACCCTCAGTGCCTCCCCAGTACCACTGAGGTAAGGCTTCCATTTCATCACGTGATATAACCCTCTGACCTTCGACCTCACTCACCTTCCTGCTCCTCATCCTCTTTCCATGACTTTGTCTCTGTCCCTCCGTCCCCAGCCTTCCTCTGTCTGACCAACTTCCAGTCTTCCTTCAGGTCTCACCTTAAGTGTTGCTTTTTCCAGGAAACTCCAAGACTGTTAAATTGCTTAGACCTAACTATTTTAGCATTTTGGTATGCTGTGTTCTAATTGCTTTTTCTTGATTTTTTTTCTTAAATAATAGACTTTATTTTTTAAGGCAGTTTTATGTTGATAGAAAATGTGAGTTGAAATTACAGAGTTCCCATACTCCCTCTCTTCCGGTCCCCACCTGACTCCCCCGTTACCAGCATCTTGCATTAGCATGGTACGTTGGCGCAGTTGTGAGCCAGTATGCAGACGCCATGATTAACTGAAGTCCATGGTTTACCTTGGGGTTGACTCTCGGTGTCACACATCTTTCCCATGGGTTTTGACAAGTGTATGCTGACGTGTATGTCTGCTGACACATGTCCACCGTGACGTTGTCACACGGAGTCGTTCCCCAGCTGAACATCCGCCCGTGCTCCTCCTGCTGGTCCCTCCCTCCTTCTCCCGAACCCCTGGCAACCACTGACCTCTTCGCCGTCCCCGTCATTTTGCCTTATTCCGGCTTCCCTTTGGTTCTTTCATTTTTCAAAGTTATCCTTGCATACCCCTCAGAGAACCAGTGTTTTCAGGGCTCTGTGGGAACAACAGCGGCCCCAATGCCACTTGCCCCCCCTTCGCCCTTCTCAGATGTGGCTGCACCGTTCTGTGGGCCTCCACGTCTCCATCCAGAGCGCGTCCGGAGTGTAGACTTCCGTGGTCACCTCCACGTCTCCATCTAGAGTGCGTCCGGAGTGTAGACTTCTGTGGTCACCTCCACGTCTCCATCTAGAGTGCGTCCAGAGTGTAGACTTACGTGGGCACCTCCACGCCTCCATCCAGAGCGCGTCCGGAGTGTAGACTTCCATGGTCACCTCCATGTCTCCATCTAGAGTGCGTCCGGAGTGTAGACTTACGTGGGCACCTCCGTGCCTCCATCTAGAGTGCGTCCGGAGTGTAGACTTACGTGGGCACCTCCGTGCCTCCGTCTAGAGTGCGTCCGGAGTGTAGACTTATATGGGCACCTCCACGCCTCTATCTAGAGTGCGTCCAGAAGGCAGACTTACGTGGGCACCGCCACACCTCCATCTAGAGTGTATCCAGAGTGTAGACTTACGTGGCTGCCTCCCCAGATTTCTCAGCTTGGGGTCAGGCATGGGCTTCCACCAAGAAAGAGGAGGATTTAGCTCTTCCTCACACCCTCCCCTTTCTGCTTACGGCCACCTCTCCTCTGGTCCTGCCCTCCCTTTTTACCTATATTGTGATTTTGGTTAGATCTGTATTTGAGATCATCATTATTATGGCTATGTAAATGCTCTTCACAGCTGAACTCTGTATTCTACATAATTAATTTTCCTTTCTTGTACAACCTTTTGTTTTCCCTGAAATGGTTATTGGCTTTTTTCTATGTATTATTAATAATGACAGTCTTCATTTCCTCTCAGAAATATCACTCTATCAGTTTTCCCTTCTGGAAGCAATCCTTCTGGAGCCTTCTGAGCCACCCATCAGGACTGAGTGTTCCACGTCCGGGTCCCCTCTGCCTCTCATCTGCTTTGGGACCCCTGTCTCCTGTGTCACATGACATTGCCTTTCTTCGTTGACCTCTTAATGTGGCCTTTCTTCTAGTGCTTTTCTGAAGAAGGGCCCATGGGAGGCAACATTTGAGAACTAGTATATTTGAAAATGCTTTTCTTTGTAGTTCTGTGCTGTGAAAACAATTCCACTCAGGGGTGTTGCATTGAGAGCATGTTGGCAGGAATCCTGACGGTTAATGGACATCCACTGTCTCAACCTGACATAGTAATTGCCTTCCTCCGGTTGGTTGTCTTTCTAATTATCAAAGAAGCTCATGGCGGGCAGGCACTGTGTCTTTCTCACCATGGTGCTGGCATCTAGCATAGGGTCTGACTTTTCTGATCAGAACATAAGTCTTAAACCAAAAAACCTTGATGGGAGTTTGGATATTTGGGATGCTGGAGTGGATCTTCTCTAGCTATTAGAATCCGAGGACTACTAAGAATACCTATTTTGTCCTTTGTATAATTTGAATTTATTAATTGGGCAAATATTCTGCTGTTGCGGCTCTGACAGGCGCATGCTGTCCAGGGGTGCAGAGCGGACAGCTTCTATCCTCGGTGCTCTTCTGATGCTTATGGAGTTTTTAAATTTTATTTTAAAGATTTAATTTGAGAGAGAAAGAAGAAAGAGAGCACGAGCAGGGAGGAGGGGCAGCGGGAGGGGGAGAAGCAGACTCCCCACTGAGCAGGGAGCCCGACTCAGGGGACGTGGGACTCGATCCCAGGACCCCGGGATCATGACCTGAGCTGAAGGCAGACACCTAACCAACTGAGCCACCCAGGGCTCTGCTTACGGAGTTTTCATCGTGTCTATCCTTGGAGCAGATTAGAAGATGTGCCTTAGAAACCCTTTATTAGAGAGTATCTTAAAAGCCCTTGAAGTGAGCTATGGTGTCGTGCTGTTGGACGAGCTCAGGGGTCTGTCTGTGTCTCGCAGGTGGTCACCATGGGCCTGTTCCGCACCATCGCGCTGTTTTACCTCGGAAGTTTCGACAGCATAGTGCGTCGCTGCATGATGCAGAGAGCAAAATCGGAAATTGCAGACAAAACTGCCTAATCCTTACCCCTTGGGAAAAGACTGTTTCTAAATAATCTGAACAGCTTGCTGCTAAAAGGGACCCAGTTTTTGGCCTACAGACACGTATGTATTGCTTTTGACTATGTGAGATTGGACCAGTGCTCCTCAGAAACCTGGCTGCAGGGCGAGGGGTAGACGTTCACCTCCAGGCGATGTTATTAATACTATGCAAATATGGAACAGGAGACCTTTGATTCTCTGGGGCGGAGAGGTGAGGACCCTATGGGGACAAATAGCATGTGAGCAGAGTAAAGAACATCATTCCAGAATGATCATTTACATGTTTCTATTTATTCTTTTTTTTTTCTTCTTCTTCTTTATTAAGTCCAAAAATGTACCTTATGATACATAAGACGCAGCCTTGGGGACTTTTTTTAACCTTCCACGAAAGGCGGTGTATGGGTTTCTGGGGCTTTTTTTCTTTTCTTTTTTTTTTCTTTTTTCTTTTTTCTTTTTAACATGGTGTATTTTATTCAAGAGTTTTACACATTGCTGGAGTCTGAATGCATGATAACTCACTGTGCTTCTGGTGGACACTCGCGGCTTCTCTCTCTCTTTGATCCCATAAAAATACAGGGGGATGAGAGAGAGCAATGCAGGGGAAGGGCAGGAGAGAGAGATTTTCCAGTAAGAAAAATAATGCTTTCTTGTCTTCTTTAGACTCGAATGCATAGAGCACTTTTTGTTATTCATTCCTGGGGAGAGGCAGCCTCCTAAAGTGTTTTCTGAAGAGAAATAAAATCTTAGAAGCTGAAAAGTTTACAATTTCTTCAACAGCCATGATGACGCGGAGCTCACCCATCCCATTAGTGTCTTGTCATTCTTCTTATCTCTCCCTCCTATTTTGCTGATACTGCTATAATATTTTTATATATAAAAAAAGACCAGTTAAAATTTTTTGACTTGACTTTTTAAACTAACTCATGAATTAATTAAAACAGGTGAAAAAAAATTAAGAAGTGTAACATTCTTCTGGTAGCATATATGTAGCTTTTAAGAAAGGCTGATGATCATATATTTACATTTTCCTCATTAAGAAAAAGAAGATAGGACAAGGCCGATTTTGAAGATACTCATTTTTGAAAGAAAATGATCACCCATTCTCTCTGTGACTCCCACTTAGCCAGTGAACCTTCTCTCCATGCCACATGTTAAGGAAGCCCAGTCATCACTCCCACAAAACAAGCTCTCGAAGCCTCTTGGCCCCGTGAATGTTGTTTTCACATCACAGGCTCTGTGGCTCAGTTAGTGGATTTCCACAATTTAAGTGCCTCTGATGGGTTTTGGCCAGTGTTCCCTGCTTCATTTTGTCGCTATATGTGCTCCCGACTTAGGGACAGTCCCCGTCATAGTAATGCTATGCCCCTCCTTCTTGCACACACAGTATGCATATACCATGCCTACAAAAGATTAAAGACCTGAAAACTGTAGCAAGCCTTTTTTTGCTCTTGAGTTTTGGAACCTCTTGACTTTAAAATGACTTAATTTTTTTGAAGTAAGATATTTAATGGCTTTAATCTTTGGCATCCTTTTAATGAGGATCTGAGAATGGCATATTTTAACACTGACAAAGAAGAAATTATTTAATATATAAGTTGCTTGGAATGACTTCATTGCAGTTTATGGGGGTGGGTTGATGCCATAATAGTTTCATGAATATCTCCGTCTTCTATAGCCATCGTGTGCAAACTACATTAGGTCACATCTCACAGCCTCTTAAGATGGAGTAATGGCTCTATTTCCCTAATTCGCAGAAAACAGTTACACATTAATATCTGGATGTTTCTCACTTTTATTTTTTATTTTTTTCTCATGAATGTTCCTTGAATGTTGGCACCTCCAGTTGCTGGTCTAGATGAAAGTCTAGCCCAAGATGGTGTCTTGTTTAGTCCAATTAACTATTTCACCAGTTATTTCAACAGACATTTTTCACGGTTTCCTCATAGATTGTATTGTTACCCCCAGGTAATCTGCTACCTGAACAAATTTAAGAGCCCCTGTTCTGTGGTGGGAGATACTTTCCCCAACCCAGTTGCAGCTCGGGCATGAGACAGATTTTGTGGAGATCATATCATCAGGGAATGGGCGTCTTTGTCAGACATGTTAAAGGGCCAAAGCTCCGTATCCAAAAAGCTTTGAAAACTAAGTTGTTGTGTTTTCCGCCCCCCCCTTCCTAAATTTGGTGCCATTATTCATTTGATAGCAAAACCTGACTTGAACTGATGTATTATAGTTTTGATTTGTCCATTTCATCGACTCTTCATTAATTTTTCCCCAAGAAACACCAATGGGTTTGATTATAGGTATTGCCCCAGATTCTATGGAGATGTTTTGTAATATCCAGTACGTGCCCCATATCACCTTTTTCCAAATCTAAAAAATTAAGAATTCTGAAACACGTCTGGCCTGAATGGTTTAGATAAGGGATTATAGACATTCAGCAGCACCACACAAAGCTCCAGCTTCATCCAAAACATGACAGTATACAAAGGCAAATTCTATTTTTTATCTTTTTTTGGCTCAGTTTTTGTACATTTTTTACACTGACTTTGCCTTTTTTTTTTTTTTTTTTTTTTGCTCAGGGGAAGGAAAAAAACAACAACACAAAAAAACCCTGAGTCAGATTGTTCAGGAAACTGTTGGCTTTTTTTTTTTTTTAAGGTGTCATTGATTCAACACTTTGTACTGTACCCAGAAGTGGGTATGTCTTACCTATGGCAGAAGGAGTTTAATTACAGTTCTGTTGAAGTGTTGGCTTTCTGTTTGTGACCAACAACAATTTCTTGTTTGAGTATCAGTTCCGAAGTGCTTGCCTCTGCTGGGTTTGGTTTTACTGTTTTATTATAGCATATTTGTGAATATATATTTATTCCAAAAATGCTGAATGTCGTTCATCCATAGAAATTCCAGAATATGTTCAAGGACCCTTCATAATTGAAAAAGGTATAAGAAACAATCCCCATTTCTTTTTACAAAAACCAAATCAAGGGAATTGTTCTTCTCTGTTATTTTTTAAAATTTAATTTTCACAGCTGAAAAGAAAAAATGAAAAATGCTGTTAATAATGGTCTCTGCATTAATACTTACACATGTCCAGTTATAAATCTGTTGGTTAAACCATATATCATTGATTCTTGGAAGTGAACATTGGGAGAGCGTTTCTAATATTTAGATGACAAAAGCATTTTGGGAATAGTTGCTTCAATTCAAAGAATTGTATGTCTTTGTCTTTCTAGAAGAAGGCAATACCATGATATTTTTACTGAGTTATATCATCAACAGATTTAATTTTATTACCCCATGTTCTAATTTAAACATGTCTCAACTCACATGAGGACACTTTTAAATATTCATAGTTTTTGACATACGATGCTTTGTATCTTTCTCATGTCCTTAGTTCTTAGTAACTTAGCTTTAAAAAGTACCTCCTAACCATAACCTTCCATATTCTGGACTCAGTCTTGTTTAGTTCAGCGCGGTGACGGCAGATTTGAGATTTTGAAGAGGAGATAATAGCTATTATATTTTACATGTTTGATGGGACAACTCTAAAGACATTTTTAAACTGTAAGAATGCACATGGCTATTTTGATATATATTAGAACTTGTGTTTGCTACTTTAGAAGCTTTTGTGGCAAAATTGTAACCTGATTTTCATATCTTGTATTTCTGAATCACAACAAAAAATAAAATGGGGAACAAGTTTTACAGATGTGAAAATGTATTTTTTTCCTTAGAAATTTGAGTTTCTTAGGAGTCATTTAAGGAAAACACAAACCTCTTTCATAACATTATCCTAACCTCGCATCCTAAACATTGACAGGGCTTGATTTTGATCATTTTTTAGGAACTAATATTTTCAGAGTAAGTACTTGGCATTCTGAGCTCCTGTTTCAAATATGCTCTGTGTCTGTGTGACTCAGATACGGGATACATGAGTAAAAGGGTAAGAAAAGTGGAATTTAGTAAAATTTCTTAATGTAATTACATTTCATATAAAAAAAATAGATTTCCCACACTTTAAACCTGCATATACTAACAATGAAATATTTCTTAGGTTCTGAAGGACACAGAAGACCGATAGATAAAATAACACACCTTAATATTCCTCAATCTTTAAATGGGAAAATTTGGTTTCCATCGTGAAGAGATTGCTTGGACATCTTGGTTTGCAAGCTCGAGCTTTCTCTAAATTTGAGCAGTATATATACCATAAATGGCATATGATATCCCTTCTATAATTTTTACATTTGGATGTTTAAAAAGGAAAAAAAAATTTCTTGTGTTCCACTCCTGATTTTATACCCTCGATTTCCCCCTCATTCAACATATATTTACTGAGCCCGGCATCCAGTCCCCTGGGGATACTACTCTGCGTAAACAGTTCATCCCTCCCTGGTGGTGATTACATTTCTTCTTTCTTCCCTCCCCACTCCTTCATCTCTCTCAAGGCTCTTACAAGTCTTCCTGGACTTCCGCTCCTCAGTTTGGGGGCCTCTGAATTTTATACCACAAATGTTTGAATGTCAGACACTGTTCTAGGCTGGGAAAGCCCAAAGGGAAAAATACAGTCCCTGTCCTCAAATAGTTTATAATCTACAGAGAAAAACATATACCAGAAATTACCCTGTGAATCTGACAAGAGCTATGATGAAGTTATCATAATTAACATTAAAAACCTAGCCCGTTGGCGGTCACTGTTGTGAGCACATCACATTTAATTCATCTCAATCATGCTACCCCGCAAGTAGTACTCTTCATATCCCCTCACGGAGAGGGGCACAGGCACGGCGAGGTTAAGTAACCAGTCCACGGTAGCAGCTACTAAGCGATGGAGCCCACATTCAAACTCCTGCCTTTTCTGCTCCTATCCCGTGTGGCACAAGTGGGCTCCTGGGACTGCCCAGGGAAGTCAGGCGTGGTCTTACTGGGGGGAAGGTCTGAAGATGAAACTCGAGGCACGAGTATGAATTTGCTCTGAGAAGGTTGGGTGCATTTCAGGGAGATGAGCAGATGTGCAAAGGCAAAAGGCACAAGAGATCTTGGTGTATTCCAGAAAGCACAGAGTTAATATGGCTGCAAGAAGGGAAGGCATAAGGGTGGCGCCCAGGTGGTAGATTTGCACCAGATCATGCCATGTAGAGGAGTTGCGATTTTAGCCTCTGAAGAACTCTGAGCGGAAATGTAAAGTGGCCAGTTTTGAGCTTTAAAAAGATCGTGGTGCCCCTTGAAATTCAGGAGTTGCTGTGCCCTGAGCCTTGAAGTAAAACCATTCTCATTAGTTTGGAAGATCCCATATTAGACATATATTGTTATGGGTTGAGTTGTGTGCCCTCAAAAGATGTTGTCGACATCTTAACCCCTAGTACCTGTGAATGTGACCTTACTTGGAAATAGGGTCTTTACAGATATAACTGAGTTAAGATGAGGTTATTCGGTTCCTGATCCAGTATGGCTGGTGACCTTACAAGAAGAGAACACAGAGAGACACGGAGAAGGCCACATGACAACAGAGGCGGATCAGAGTCACGCAGATGCCTGCCCAGGCACCCCAAGGACTGCCCGCCGCCACCAGAAGCTAGGAAGAGGCCAGGAGAGATTTTTCCCTAGAGTCTTCAGAGGGAGCCCGGCCCGGCTGACACCTTGATTTTGGACTTCACACCTCCCAAACTGTGGGGTTTGTTTCAAGCTGTTTCAAGCCACCTAGCTTGTGGTACTTTGTTATGGCAGCCCTAGGAAACAAAAACATTAACCTTGATTTCTCTAAACATGTTCATCAGTAAGTAATATCCGGGAGACACTGTGCTGTGTGCTAAATCACATAAGAGAATAAAAGTCATCGCATAGAAGAATGTAAATTCTTTGCCTATTTCCCCTCCATACTATGGTGTTATCACATTGGCTGGGCCTATTACTGCAGTTTCGATCCAACGAGAGCAGTAGCCATTTGAAAAATTTAATTCCCTGCTCTTATTTTATTTCACTTTAAATGCCAAGTCATGGATTTGAAAGGAAAAAATTGCCACGAGTAAATTTCCTGTACTTGCCTTTGTGAACCAGAAGGAAACATGACTTGCCTGCTATTAAACTCACACAACAGAATGATTCATCTGCAGTTCGTTGCCTAGCTTCAAAGGTTGTTCCTTAGTTATTCTAAACATTTTTTGAGGTTTAGAACCTCAAAATTAGTTAAGTAGGTTTCTCAGTTAAACCAAGGCCTGTTGGTTTAGATTTGGCAGAAGGGTTTGCTTGTAATGACAAGGATGGTTTGAGAGCACATAGTGGACAAATCGGATTCAATCAGTCCTATTGCAGAAGACAGGTTCTGGAGCATTAATGCACTGGGAACAGTATTACTGTTAGTATTAGTACCTAATGCTAATTGGGAATTAGTATTATAATATTATTCTATAATAATGACCAACAACAAATGCAACCCATCTGAAAACACGTGACACTATTTAGTGTAAGAGTTCATAATATATAACCTATGTCAATTATATCTCAGTAAAGCTGGAAATGATAATATAGAAGACACTTGAAACTGGAAATTAGTGTTCTCGGATTGCTTGTCTGGGAGATACTGTTTTTTTAAGCAGGTTTTTTTTTTTTTTTATGCAGGTTATGTGAACCCTTTGTTCTTACTCCCTCTGGTCAGTTCATTTCCTTTACGGATTTATTTCCACTTTAGTTTGCCTAAATGGTTTGGAGTCGTGTTTTATATTTTTAACTTTCACCTTATCTATTAGTTGTCAATTCCTTCTCAGTTAATGAATGGGGTTTTTGTATCCTCATTTTAAATAAGAGTTTAATAGTGAGACTTACTACATGCCTATATATAAAACATGTATGCCCAGATTAGAATAATGTCCTTTTTGAATTTCATAAACTTTGGAAGTGTTTATACTGGTGATGGATGAAGAGAACTTTCTGAATGATACTGTTAAACATCAACCAGTAGGTGGCGAAAACTGGCAATAAAAAGCTTTTTGTTTGGCAGACTGGAGAATAAAGAAGGAAAATACAGGCCTTTCAGGCTCTTGATACAATCTCCCTTCCTTGCATCTTGTTCTTTCCTCTTCCTGGTGCTACCCTACTCCTAGAATCCAGCCAGGCAAAGCTGCAGGCAGGGTAGTCCATTGGCTCTGAAAAGTGGAAGGCATCTTGGGAAGTGAAAAGCCCATCGTGCATACAGGTGGAAGGTTGTTGGACGGTCTCCGGCACAGATCTAGGATTCAAACCCAGGACTCCTGGCTCAGGCCAGGGTTCCCTCCACCACTCCCTCCCCAATACCCAGAGACGGTGAATCTGCACACTTCCTACAATACCTGCCCTCACACTTGAAGGTGGAATCTAATAGCCAAATCTGAATGGAGGAATGGTTTCACTCTTTCGATATAAAGAGAATTCAGAACATTCCTGGGTAATATATAATCTTAGTCAAGGACCAGAACGCAGACCGGTCCTGAGAATGGCTGGTGATGGCCAAGATGCCACCGAAGAAGGAAGTCTGAGAAAATCTGTCAAGCGAGGCTCTGTGGGAGCCAAGGTGGGGAAAAAAACAAGGAGGCTTTTCTTTTTCTGGGAATGGGGGATCCATTTCCTTCTGGGTCCCCCTTTGCAGAAGTACAATGTCTTTTCCAGCTCTGTCCTCATTTCCTCACTCACATGCTGGGTCTCAGAAGCACTAAGGTTTTCAATTCCTCTTAAGTAATTTTGGGGGTCTAAGACAAGCTTCTTAGAAGATCCTTAAATGATCCTGTGGAGGCATTGGTGGTATAGGTTTCTACTCTTTCTGTGAGAACATATATCCCAGGTCGGTCTATACTCAGTGTCCATCTCCAGGCCAGAACCTCCCACCCCCCAGTGCCATGTCACAGCCATTAGAAAGCAGGAAGGAGCATCTTCCTTCATTCCTTCTTGCGGGGATAAGAAGTTTGTACGAGGCACCCATCCCTACATGCAAGAGGTTGGCACGTTGGTTGATTGGGTATGCTAAATGAAGTGAAAATAATTTGTGCTTATTTTGCTCAAGAATACAAACTTTGATTTTAGACTAGGAACGAGACAAAATAAAGATGGTGTCAGAACATGTTTGTACACATGGCAGCGCGTTTCTATGAGCACTATAATCCAGCATCCTATATATTTGTATTTGAGCCCTATTAGGTAAGCTGCTGTGGTTTTAGTAAACATTTTTTTCTTGGCGCTTTATTTGTCAAAGACTTTCTGAGATAAAAAATAGTTAAACACGCACAACTTGTTTGCCCTCTTGTGCTTTTCTCCTAGGGGCTATTCAGGCTGATGAATGAAAGACTGTGTGCTTGTGTGTACAATATATATCTGTGTGTGTGTGTGTGTGTGTGTGTGTGTAGATAACTTGAGAAGGTGCAGCCATCTAGCACTGGCTGCTAGGCGACCCCACAGGCCTTGGAAAAACCCACCCACCCTGGTGTTAGGACCGGGGGCCCGAAAGTTACTCTGTAGCCCCGTGCAGCGTCCAGCCCCAACCCAGCGCCAATCCTGCCAGGGGCAGAGGAAGAACATTTACTTAGCCATTTTAGAGCCCTTGATATCCTCGACTTGCCACTCACTGGCCCGCTGAGCGCTACGTCTGGCCTTGGTCAGGATGGTGTCCCCAGGGTGTGCGTTGCGCCTGCACACCTAGGAAGCAACTTGAAAGTAAACACCTCGCTTGGGGCTTCCCTTGCCACTCTTCGCGGGAGGGCAACGCTGAGATCCCACTGCTCGGGGTCAGCGCGGGCCTGGGTCTTCTCCCTGGCAGCTGCCAAGAGCCGGCAACACGATGTGTACACGTACACACACACACACACACACTCGGTTAAAGGGGTCGAAGCACACGCGCACACACACACACTCGGTTAAAAGGGTCGAATTGATTCCCGGCGGTTGCGCCCTTGACGCAGCCGCCCGGCAGGCCGCGTGCAGTCCCCCGGGCGACCCCGGCCCCACTCGGGCCCCCCGAGCGCGCGCCAGGCCCGCCGCAGGCCCGAGGAGGCCCCTCGCACACCCACCGCGCCGCGGCCGCGCGGGAGG